TTTTCCTGATTTTCAAAAGTCAAAAGTGCAAAGCCTAAAATGTTAGTTTTTTAACCTGGGGACCCGGCCTAGTGCCCAGGCTATAATATTATTTGATGTTCATAAACATATACACAATACATAATACACGAGTAAAGATTCATGACTGTGCAATGAAAAACTGAGCCGCACAGTAAGTTTTTTTCTGTTCAGTTCCGTTCATTTTTCCATTTCACATTTTTCATCGATGCTCAATAAATTTGTAGCGTTGTAATATTAGTTTAAAACTCCGAGTGGAGGCTAGTTAGTGTAACTATGACAACAACAAGGTAATATATATATATAATATAAAGCTAAGTTACCATGACAGCTAGCTGTAGCAGATAAAAGTAAATATTAATGTGACAGTGAAGCTAGTCAGCCAGGCCAGGTGGTGATCAAGATAAAGGGATGAAAAGTGGGACAGTTCCCACTCATCTCTGTGTGAGACTGGGTGCAGCCAGGAAGTAAACAATTTATTTCATCTTAACAGATATAGTCAGCTATTTTAATTCAAACGACATAACTAATTTAAAACCGATCCCTCTTCTTAAATGTATTATTAAATTATCGATAGCAGATAGTGAATGCTGGAGGTAGAGGGATTTTGATTGACGATGTCACTCCTTCACAGCTCGTAGCGGCCCATACCAGTAGTGCATTGCTACGATCTCGCGAAGTAGTGCATCGTGCTACAAAAGGGATTGTGATGAGTGATCACAATCACCATGAATAACAGTTAAGGAAAGAATTTCCCAAAGGCAAAGGTTGAACGCTGAAAAATGTTGAGATGATGACCCAATTTTGAATTGCCATTTTAGCTACGACCACGACTATAGTACTACGTGAAAATACTGAGTGACAGGTTTGTAGAGAAAGTCACCTCAGAGATAACACACATGGAGACCCAGAAAGGGGGTACCCTGGCTGTGTCAACCTATCATTTGCTTACGTTGAGGGGTAGAGTTTACTGATGGCTCTCAAAGATATCACTCTCTCCTCAGGTTAACCTCTTTGTTTTTCTTGTTTACATTGTTATCAGGTAGTGAGATTTTGGAAATATCCACCAGTACATATCCCCCTTCGTTCTAAAAGTGCTGATCTGTGTTTCTATTATATACGGATACCTACCTGAATTGACTGATGTTTTACTGTAACTATGATCTAACTATTCCTCCAGGTTCAGCTTGTACCTCTGCTTCTCTAGAACCACGCTACGTGTTGAGAGCACTGGGAGCACACGACGACATGGTGCACTCCTCTATCAGGTAATAAACGGAATAAATGGTCGACATTTACAATGTATAATTTGAGCGAATATTCGGTCAATATTTATCAATATTCAATATTGCACTTAATAAAATTAAAGCTATGAGCTAACGAGTTTACATTTCGTCTCAGACTATTATAGCGAGTCTTAAGATAAAACACTGTTTCCTATGTTGAATAAACAGCTCCCAAAGAATTACATTTACGTTACTTGAACTTGAAGTGTAACTACCGAACAAACTTAATAGGACGCATTGGAAAACTCTGATATAAGCCGCACTTAAAGTAATTTTAATCCTTGAAGGCCTCATAGAAAAATTTATTTAAGTTCTGTCTCGACAAAATTTCATTAATTTCGAGGAGACCTGGCACGCGTGGATGGTACTGAACTCGATGCTGTGAAAATAATGACCAAGAGAGTAAGCTGAAATTAAAGATGACACCTCAAAGTCAAAGATCTGTGTGGCTGACTCCTCTAGATGAGGGGGGTACTTAACCGGGTACAGTTTGTTGACTCCTCACTTATCTTAGCAGACATGTTAGCTACAACTACTCTACTATTGGTGGTCGGATTGGTCCTGGGTGACGTTGGACACAACCAGATCCTGGATTTCCCTGGACCCGCTAACACAGAGAACTACATCAGCTACAACCCAGATTTACCCGCTCTTACTGGACTGACAGTTTGTGCCTGGCAGCAGAAGAGTTACTCTGATAACAAGAGGTATTGGTTCAGCTACGCTGTACCGGGGACTGACAACGAGATTATCCTAGGAGAGAGGGAAACAGGACTTTACGTATTCTACCTGGGAGGAAGTAGTTTTGGAGCTAATGTCGGGGCACCAGAGAATCAGTGGGTACATGTGTGTGCAGCCTGGGACTCAGAGAGTGGAGTAGCTGTCATCAGTGTCAACGGAGAAGCAGCAGCGACTCAAGAAGGTTTCAAGCAGGGTGGAAGTGTGAGGGCAGGAGGAAATCTTGTTATTGGACAGGAGCAGGACAGTGTTGGAGGGAGGTTCGACGCTAGCCAGGCATTCCTGGGCAGACTGTACAACATCAACGTCTGGGACTACGCACTCAACTCCACCGATGTGGCCTTCCTTTACGAGACTGGTTTCTGTGGGTACGGCTCAACTGAGGCCGACCCTATCATCTCTTACGCTGACCTGCTCGCACAAGATTTGAGTGGAGCCACATCCGTCATTGATGGACCCTGCATTGACCTGGAGGACCCCAGCAACGGACAGGTTATGAGGTTCCCTCCTCAGTCGCAGGCCAGCACAGCTAATTTCCTGCAGTTCTCACCTGACCTTGGAAGTGATGATTTCGGAGAGTTCTCCATCTGCACCTGGTTCTTCAAGACATACGGGGACCAGTCTAGGTACTTCCTGAGCTACGCAGTTTCAGGTGAACATAATGCCATCATCCTGGGTGAACAGGCCACATTGGGCTTCTGGGTAAACGGAGCTAAAATGCTGACAGACATCCTCCTGGAACAACAAAAGTGGTATCACCTGTGTTTCACACGGGGTAGTGACAGTGGGGCTGTGATCTATGTGGACGGAGCCAAAGTTAAAGAGGGTGACTTAGCAAAGGGTGGTTTGACAAAGACTGGTGGAGTAATGAACATTGGGCAAGAACAGGACTCTATGGGAGGTAGTTACGATGCTAGCCAGGCCTTTGCAGGGAGTCTCTACAACCTGAACATGTTTAACGTGAAGCTGACTGACGATCAGGTTGCTCAGATCTACGCTAACGGCACTTTCTGTGAAATGGTACCTGACGCGATGTGGGAGAGTGAGAGTGTAATGATAGCCTACAAGGACCTGTTCAGTCTCATTCCTGATGGAGATGTGATGTTTGATAGTGGAGAGACATCCTGGAGACACGGTGCTATCCACTGTCAGGGTACAGATCTAGACGAGGACGCACATAAGCCTGACTGCTGCAGACAGAGGAGGGACGCAGGTACAAGGATAACTCAAACTTGGGATATATCGTTGGAGACGTGGACGCTGCCAAGGCTGCTTGCTACGCGTACGGTAAATGTAAAACTCTTACCTGTTACATGAAGAATGGGGAACAGAGATGTGATATGTTGTCCACATATGAGAAACAGAAGAAGGACAACAAGAAAACCTCTTATACGTACAGATGTTAAATAACTTGGACGCTTAACTTTTCTTTAATTCTGTAGAATATTTTCCTTTCAATTTGACTCTTGATAGAAGTAAAAAGATTTAAAAGCGTATTTAATATGATAGACGTATTTTTATTCGGCATTACGTGAGTTGTTTGTTAATTGTTTCTAACAACCATTTTCTGTCCAAAAAACTGATATTTAGCAAAACAGATTTATTTGAAAACCACAAGAGTTGAAAGGCGTAAACACTTAACTTATAGTTTATGTAATAAGCGCCATGAGTTGGCATATTTTTACACTCTTCAATGCACAGCACACAGGAGGCCCACATACAGCTCGACCTTATCGTGCTGCACGGTGAATTTGCGTTATTCACACTTAGAGGCAACTTTTGGTACTAAATTAATCAAAATCAGAGACAAAACATTCTTATTACATACACTATTACCATCTTTCCGATTAGCGGATATTGCAGGTTATATAAAATGGAGTTTAGAACAGAAACGCATTTCCTAGGAGTGTTTAATGGCGAAAAGCGCACGTGACCATCTTGCTGTAAAAACTGAAATTACTCACCCGGCTGATGAGTCACTGACTATAGTTTAAATCTAATGAGCTGGGAACTGGTGGCTAAGGAGAAACCCTCCTTGCAGGCTGAGATATCTTATTCTTAAGGTTACAATTATAGCTCTTAGCTTTTACTCTTAGCTCTTTACCAATCGGGTTTTGAGCCGTTAGCATCAGTAGCGGGTTCCGGTTATCTATATCTATTATCATAGATTTTTGATTAATAAATTTTATGAGACAGTTTTCTCACATATTTACCAATTTTGTCAGCATGAATAAGAAGTTGTTACTTTGAAACGTCGTTTATCCTAACAGTGCAATATCATTTGTCGCAAATCAGAATAATCAGAAACTATTTGGAAAACCCAAAAACTGTCTATTATTATCATAGAGGTATACCCTGATTCAAGAGTAATATCATGGTTACGTTACTCAATATGTATTCTGGGCTACGTTTTGCGTTTGCGCTTACAATCTCCAGGTTAAACCCGTTAAAGTAGTATTAACAATTAACTTTAACTTTAAGTACATTCTTACATTTCTTGTGCTTTATCCGATGTGGTATAGAATACAACGTAATCTAAAATAATCCAAATCTATAAACTGCAGTACGCAGTGAGTAACCGGGACGCCATGTTATGCCTATGGTATGTTAATGTATAGTATGTATGGTATGTATGTATGGTAGCAGCTCTCCCTGCGAGCGTGATAAATCACTCTACACTGGAACTTTGTGATTTAAGAAATTAATCTCGATTGATGTATTTTTGAGCGCTGATTCTAAATCACACCACATTGGGGTGATTCGGAATCAGCGTCTAAAAATACACCGAACTAAACAGTAAACTACTTTCATACCCTCAGTGCTCAGAGCCTTTTAACAAGAATTTCTAAAAATTTTGGCGAGCGATTTATAGTGAGACTGGGATCGCTTTCTAGCTTCTTGCATACGTGCGAGAACCGAGCATTAGACTAGCAAGCTAAAAGTAAATACATATCTTTTGGGTAAAGCATTCAATCAAGAAATGAAGTTTACACAAAGTAAAACATGAATTTGCAATAAGTTAGTTAGAAGTTCCCACCCTGGTCCCTGACCTTCTATCATCTCTTTATGGTAAGCCCTAGCTAGTGATGTTAATGGATATTACTAATTCGCTCGCCAACAGGCAACGTTAAGCCATTGTCATACACTCAGGGCCTTTTCACAATAATTTAAAAAAATTGAGGCGAGCGATTTAGTGGGATCGGATGTTATTGTTAACATAATGTAAAAATATGCTGGAAGGAATTTCAAATGGACTCAGTCAAATTGCAAATGAAGTTACTTTGATGTTTGAAAATTCTACAGCTACTCGATTAGAACTAACAACGAAGTACGAGCTTCGACCAGAAAAAACAGTTTACATATATCTAAAGTCCGCGTTTAATATAATTATGTCTCCAAATCCAGAGAACCAAAACTGTAACGTTTTCAGTTTGAGTCGTACGTTGTACGTGCGAGCTCAGATCACGACGTAAAACTAACAAATTAACTGAAAGTATTGTAAACAAGGCCACGAACACTTCGAGATAAGAACTATTTAATGTTTTCTCTTTCCCTGAGATGCCTTTTCCAGTGTTTGCTGCGGTAAGATTTCTCACTTTTCCTAAAGTGATGCCACCCCAGACACTTGGGGCTGTCACTCACAGGGTGCTTGCTTATCCGGTGAACAATGGGACCTAGCCTGAAGTTTCGGTACTTCTGCTCATCAGGGTACAGATCAGCAAACTTAATGCCATATTCTTCTTCAGTGTCGTGGTATATCGGCTGAGAGCGCTCGGGGCCTAATGACCAATACTCCCCCTCAGATAAGATATCTTCTGGTAGTAACCTGAGTGGTAGAGGGTTAAATATTCAGAATATTAGGGGAACTGGAGCAATAACATACCCAACATAGGTGTCTAGTCGAGATTATGTATCTATAGAGATAGTTTCATAAATCCGTACCTGTGTTTCATGGCTTTACGAATTGTTGATTTTAGCTTGCGTTGCATTTTGGTACATACACCCAGCTCCTCTGCTGTTTTCATCTTCTGGTCTCTGTAAAAGAGAAATAAATTAGAAACACAAAACTTAAGAACTTGCATTTTGTAAATTCAACATCAATTATCTTTATAAATTATCTTTATACATTTTTTAATCTTTACTAAAAAAGACAAAGTTAAAACAATGGTGACAAATCACAAATAATAACGACAATAAAATGGGCCCATTGAAACCTGATGAACTGTTCCAAAACAAGCACATCTCTGTAGTCAAAGTCTTGTAGGTTGTTCTGACAAAGCCAACAACCTTCATCTAGTCCGATGTTAGGGTTACGGGAGGGAACAAGGGGCGGAGCTTCGTTACTTTTGTTCGATACTAACACTGCTTTGCTCGGTATCTGTCGGGGTATTTGACAATGATATACTGTCTCTCTACTTCTAATTTATAAGCGGATTTGTACGGAAGTGTTGTTGTAGTCTAAGGAATGAAGATGAGACAGATGACAACATTGTCAGGAAAATAACAAACCTCTGGTGGTTTGCTGGTGTAATTAGTGGCTACAATTTGGGAGTTGATACTTGCACAGATAGGTTTAGCGAGGCGGGTTAAGGAGAGGCGCAGTGCCATTCTAGAGAAGTACGGGTAAATTAGTAAATAGTAATTTGTCAGAAAGTGACATTTTCACAATCAATAATGGATAATTTCTCTCGCAATTCCCTCTTAAAATTATGTCCAATTAATTAATAAAATTAATTCGACTTTAACTGGAAATTAGAATAATTTCTGACTCTGTGAGAAAACGATTGATCTCCTGTTTTCGACAATCGGAAGGACTACACGGAAACTGTTTGAGGAAATAAATCATTATAAAACAGTTGACAAACGTTATATTACAAGTCCAGCTAGATTTGTCTCAATAAAATTAAGAAGTTAAATTCAATATCATTCATTATATTGATCCAGATCGCTGAAACACCGAAGTTCCATCCCAAAACATAAGAGCGGATGTTTTTAGAAGACTCAAAAAGAACAGGCTTGATTTTAATTTAAATGTCAACGGGATAAATTAAATTTTATTGATTAAGGTATCTACATGTATTTATTTGCTTTGACATTAGTTTTTTCATCGTCTTTAATGTCAAAGTTCAAACTATTTTGGTTCAATTGAGAGTACAACTTTGTTCGTATATTTCGTAACAGTGATTTCGTCGGATAAGAGGTCAGTTGATAAAATGTACAAAATCTCGTGAAGAATTATGTGCGAAAGTCAATGATACCGGAGGGATCACAAGGGTTCTGTGCAGTGACGTCTCAGTTCAATCCTTAACTGTTTCCTCGGACATCCTGTGCCGAGAAGACTGATGTCGAATTGTTGGCGCGCTGCCAAATCTCGTTAAGCACGGGGAGTCAGCCCTGAAACAAACGATTCCTCTTTATTCGGACATAATTTTGTAAAATACTCCTTGATTGTGGCAATGAGAAACAAAAGCATAAACGAATAATGTTTGTAGATAAAACTGATAGTGACAGTGATTTTCACTACTTTTAATCATAAGTGGATTATATTCAATTTGAAAAATTAAGGAAAATTGTGAGATTTACACACACTCAGTAATTGGACGAAATGTAAATTTTCGGTCTGCATCCTCCAATCTAACCAGCACATCACTTTCAAAATTTGCGATTCCAATAGAGGTTTTGACAATTTGATTGGTCAACAAGATTCAAACACAGATTTTATTAGTGAGAGCTGCAAACACGTGATGTGAGCTGCAAACACGTGATGTTGAGTCTTACCGAAAGAGGGCACCGGTCCGGGCAGGATTTTTAGTAATTTCCTGATTTTGAACTGTACATTATTCAGAGAATTATACATTTCAACCTCTCTGGTTTAATCAAACACAAATGGCTCGACCGAGACCGTAATCTTGTGTTTTAAAAAGAAATGAAATTGGTATATTTTGTTTAAAAGTGGTGCAAGTCACAATAATCTCCTTTAGGTTTGATCGGCACCGAAGTCACCCATACAACATTGACAATCCACTAATTTGCCGCGATTAATAAATATCTCTACTAATCTGCAGAGCTTTCTGCAGAACGAAGCCTGATATAAATTATAAACATTGAATGGTGAATCAGCCTAGGATTAAGACAGACCTGTCGGCTTGAACCCCAACATCCACTGAGTAACCGTCTCGCAGTGAGTCTGAGTGGAGGATATCCATACAGAGGGACACACTTGAGTCTTTAGTTCGGTCACGTGACCTCATGCTCTCCCGAGAACTGCAGGGGAGGTTGTTGATAATATTTAACAAAACATTCGTTAAACCATTAACCTTCAAAGGCCGCATCTACCTTGTCTAGCGATCCTGAATGCTGGTTAAGCTTTTCGAAGAAAATCATGTTTTAACTTTAAAGGAGTGACTGTATCTTTGCAGTTTTGATCAAAGTGCAGAGCGATGGCTTCCGTTTTCAAAGAGGTGTAAAGCTGGTTAGAGTGGTAGCAAACATATTGGAATAGAAACCCGACAACAACTAAGAAATTGTCAGGACCATTAACACGGGAAGTCATATTCGAGATTAACTGAATCGGCTAAAATATATATTGTCTTAATCTCTAAACTCAGGCAGTTAAAAATTCACGAATATTCTTAATAAGGAACACCGCCAAAAAAGTAAAATTCTTTCAGCTCAAGGATAAAACTGGCACACCAACCTGTCTAGATCTGGGATCTCGATGTCAGTGGAAGCGAAGTCGACCCTGCGATGTTTGTCGCTGAGATGATGAGAGGAGGAGGATGAGGAGGAGGAAGAGTGTTTGTCAGAAGAGAGATGAGGGGCGGACAGGGAGCTCTGATGTTTGGTGGAGTGGGTAGGATGGGAGCAGCTTAGTAAAGGCGTGCTCTCTACTTCACTATCTTCGTCTGATGTGGCGGGAGACTTCATGTTTACCTGAGGTACAACGGATTTACGGCAATGATCTTATCTTTTCTAACAGCTATGGACGAGTATATAGTTGTTAGAAAGGCTGCTTTGGAAACCACATAACAATTCAATTAGATTGATTAGAAAATCATCAGGAGAACCACTCTAATTTCGTAACAAGGTGCTAACTGCTACGTGCAGTTATCTACACACAAAAACAAGTATCCCAATCACCCAGATTACCTCGATAATAGGATTAAAGTTGATGTCCGAAGTTGCTTTAGTTAGCAGCTCTCTAGATATCTTTCTCTCTGTAAGATTAAGATGATTGTCTGAAGTTGTTTTCTTGGGAAGATCGCTGTGCTGAAGAGAGGTATTGCTGGGCAATGACACACTGCTGCTCATCTTGTTCTTTCCTCTGCCGTCAAACGAGAGTAGACATCTGGACGAGAGTGGTACCTGGAATAAAGTCTTGGTATAAGGGGGGGGGGGGGGGGGGGGGGGGGGGGGGGGGAGCGTGCATAACCAGAAATGAGATACAAATGTACGGATATATACCCTGGAACTACCTTATTGAGATTCTCGTTGTCGCAAGTAGGTCCCTGTCGGAGATTAGGGGGTGGTAAAATCTCCTGACTTTTGTCCGCTGCTGAAGTGCTCTCTGCTCGCCCCGATAAAAAAGCCCGGTGCTGTCTAGTTGATCTGTGGGAGGAGGGAACCGTCAGAAATATTACTAATAGTTGTACATAATCTGACATAATATTAATAATAGTAAAAGTAATACTATTACTAATAATATAATATAATATTACTGTTTAAGGTATAATATTATTGTTAAAGGTAAACCGGCGATGTAAGGTCGTGTTTAATGTTTTGATATCTGAGGATTATGTTTTGTAGAACTAGTTGCAGTTGAAAGTAAATTAATCTGATATTAAAGTAATTATTTAAGTGAATGATTTAAGGTGAACTGCGTTCATCCTACGTGGAGTTATTCCTTATTTCGACCAGAAGGTGACGTAACGAGTAAAATGTGCAGTGAATACTGGGTAGATACATTTCATTAAAAGCTGTAATTAGAGGAGACCTGCCCTTGTATCTTGTTGTATCTGTAACTAGAGTGGGGTAGAGTGACCAATATTATTGTCATCTGAGATAAAACATTTCGAGTACTATTAATATTGCGAACTATAATTCGTTGGATCGTTTACATTTTTGTGTTTTGCATTCGAGAACAAACACTGGTTATGCTATAGGAGGAATTCGTTGTTGATCGCAAACTATTTATACCCCAGTCAACAAAATTAGAAAAACCCCCGAAGAATGAAGATGACGTATTGTTGAGGGTGACATCTGTAAGGTTACCTTTACTAGACCTACTCCGTTTAACACCATGCGTATCTTCTAGGTGTTCATTAGGTCAGCAACACATACCCCCTACACCCGACACAATCTGAACAACGTCTACCACCACTAGATGATAATATCAGGGTAGATATGATCAGCACACCACGTGACCTGCTCACCTGCCTTACCAGTTACCAACTCCCCGGTCACACACAGAGTATGTGGTTAAGCTACACACGGAGACAGGTTTACTGGTAGGGTGAAGTAAGAAGCGGTACAAGTTGCTGATGACAGGAGAGAGCTTCGAAGATACCAGGTTCACATAAAGCATTATCACAGGGGGACCCCTTATCATCCCTCTCTCATGCGAGCAGTTAGTTACTACACCTACAGTAATACTCATTATTAGTGAGTTGTTGCGGGTGTTATTTTTAGTAATCATCCGTCAGAGACCTGTCCGATGTTTGCGGGTTAGGTAAGTTTGTAACGTTGTGTCACGTGGTGTAGTTAGGTAATTCCCTGACGTAGTCATGTCACATGGTATTTGTGAGAAATTCCCCCTATTAACGTACAATCAAGGCGGGGAATGAGGCCGAGTAGTAGAAGCCATGTGTTCGTTGTGATTCTCTGCTGCTTTGGTATTCGATGATAGAACTTTGTTTAGTCGCGCGGTCCCTTGTAACTTTTCATTCGAGACTTTGGAAAAAGAACGATGATTTCACCGCATGTCTTGCCGGACTACTCTGTTCAGACTTGTTCTTTCGCTTTTGATAGTAATTTCTTCGCAGTCGTTGTTTAACCGGAAATAAAATGACGTGAAAACACTTTCTTTCGGGTTAAAAGGCAGAATACTGAATCCAAGAATACTTACATAATATGACGCATAAACGCGAACGTTTATACTTATGCCATTGCATATATAAATCGTCAACTACAATTATAACAATTGTTTAGTGTAATTATGGCACGTGCCGTTTGTAAGTACAACTAGTGTTGTAATACTCACAATTGTTGAACATTTGTTCTTAAATATATCGTCTTCTTGCCTTACATTAAATATCGAATCTATGTTTGCGAGAGTCCGATTTTGATAAATTTCGATCAGAAAGTAGCATTTATTTAAGGCGTCAACATATTTCGCGTACATAAACACTGCAACAAAGCTGAAATATTTTATCTTTCGGTAGCTTTAAAATCCATTTCTGCGATTTGCTACACTGAAACTTGAAATGCATTCTCTACTGACTTTAACGTTTTATTAGCAATAGAAAACGATGTTCCCAGCTGTGATCTGCGTTCTGGTGCACCTAGTTGCCGCCTCCCCCTCTGTAGAACCCTACCCAGTGTCTAAGTCTAACCTCTCCACCGCAGCCTCTCTCCCTTCCATCACCACAAAGATCACTACCAGCGGTAAAGGGGAACAGTCCATGCCTCCCTCTGAAACAATGTCTACAGAGACAATGACCTACATGAGTACCACCTCCCCACCTATCTGGACTACTCCCTCGTACCCTGATGTTCCTACTGATGGTACGACTGATAAAACTGATGAACCTACAACCCCTGAAAGAGGGTCGGAGGAGGTTACTGAGTCTCCAGTAACTGCTACTGAGCCTTCTAATGTCACGGAGGAGAAGGAGGAGGAGGAGGAGCAAGGTCCTAGTGCAGCTCAAACTATACGATTATCTGAACTGCTTCTCAGACTTCTAGCTGTCTTTATTATTGTAAGTTTATCTGTTAAACACGTGCCTTTATCCCCCCTAGTCCAATTATTTCAACGATCATGTGAGATGAATATGAATGAGCACCATTGACAATAAAAACACATTTTCAGGTTCCCGTTTTACAGTGAGTTATGCTGACGAACAACTAGACTTTAACAGAACGCCAGAGCCCTGGAGCCCGGCAGGACTCAACATACAGAGGAACTGACCTGTTCTGGTCCCTGCTCCGACTGGAGAGACCCTGAACGCAGGAGATGATGGGGTCGCTGGCAGCCACACATCCTAGAGTATCACCCTTCTTACTGTTCTCACTCTGCCCTGAGCTCCGGTGATGTACTGGTGAGGTGTCACTCTCCTGAAACACCTGGTTAAGATATGGATACAGTGGGTTTTAGTACAAGGACTGGGTTTTAAATTTTAGTTAACACCCCGCAGAATAGCTGTGTAACATCATGTATCATATGATAAAACCCTGATTACCTGAGATACGGGGTCGTTGCTCCCAAAGTCTAGACAGGAGTGAAAAGAGCCGGAAGGGGGCCGGGTAGTGGCGGGTTTATTATCACACGGCAGAGTCACCGTTCTGTTGGGGTGATAAAACACAGCCTGGCGTCCGGCGTCCGCGTCAATACTGCAGATATGTGTCATCGTCAATTACAGTATCATCATTATCAACAGAACAGGGCTTTTCATCAGTTACCACAAATCATAATCATTAACTAGAAATACCATGATCTATATGACATGCTAATTAACCCCACCTATTAGCAACCTCCAGTCCACTCACCTATTAACAGCTTCCAGTCCACTCACCTATTAACAGCCTCCAGTCCACTCACCTATTAGCAGCCTCCAGTCCACTGCAGTTGAGTATCCGGTGAATGAAGCGTCTGGCCCCGCTTAAACAAGGCATGTAGTGTTTGACCATGCCAGTTATCGAAGCTACTTGTCTGTGAGTGTCGCTGTATCCGGTTATCAGGGGGGACACGTAGATGGGATAACCTATAGGGTCGTCACACGAGCTGAGGGGTTTAAGATATATTTCAGTAGTTTTTCATTTAGGTTACACATTTTGGATGAGTATAGCTGATTTGGATTCGTGTTATGCTTAAATTTACCTTTTAGAAAATTAAAATGCTCATTGTACAATGTACATAGTATTTGAAATTTGTTGAGTTAACATCACTATAAAACGATTTATTGTTTTTATATAAATAATTTATTTAATGTGGTTTATCAAACATTGTTCTTTTAAATTCTTACAAAATAGACAAATGAAATTATAACATATTTTCACACAAAAACTGAAATAACTCTTGGAAAAATCGTTTCAAAGCTTTAAATACTCTTTTCGTCGCAATTAATGTGGCTAACGCAAAAAAATATTTAAACCTTTTGAGCTCTTTATGGACGCGAGAAAAAAACAAAACCCCACCTGTTTATCATGTTCCTGAGTGCCTGTTTGGCGTGCTGAATACTGCCTCGTTCTGGGTTAGTATTGCGGAGGAAGATAAGTTCCTGCTGCTGTCCAGCCCATAAACCTCGTACACATTCCCGGTTCACCTGAGTAGTTACCATTTCACTATTTCACTATTTCACCTGAGTAGTTATCTTTTCACTATTTCACTATTTCACCAGAGTAGTTACCATTTCATTATTTCACTATTTCACCTGAGTAGTTACCCTTTCACTATTTCACTAATTCACCTGAGTAGTTACCCTTTCACTATTTCACTATTTCACCTGAGTAGTTACCCTTTCACTATTTCACTATTTCACCTGAGTAGTTACCCTTTCACTATTCCACTATTTCGTGTGGAATGTTTGTAATTTCTCTATTTCTGAGATGCTCACCAGAAGTTTTTGATAGATACAGAAAAGATTCTATGTTGAAATGCGACGATTTCATTAAGTACACGACTTTACATCGTGTTAGGTAATTGCAGTGATGTTTACGAAATGACTGGACCGGATGTTTAAGTCATATTAAACAAACACCATTGAACCAATATACTAATTATGCGTACTTTAACGGGTGGCATTTTGGGCATTCGAAAATTTGCCGATGGCAAGGTTAACGCACACTTAAGGGACATTTAAGGCACGTATAAGACACACGGCCTTCTACACGAAGAAAGCTGTGCTTAAGAAGGCTTCTAAAATGTAAAGCACAGCTGTCTTCGTGTAGGTCACAGTCATCATAATTACCCCACCCCTCAACCCCCTGGTTGTATTACCCCCCCCCCTCAACCCCCGGCCCTGGTTGTATTATTTTATCTACCCCCGAAACACACAATGGCCCTCGGCCTTAGGTGTTCGTTACCCGTGCCTCCGAGTAAAATGTGTGTTATCCGTGCTTTTAAAAGTGTCCCTGAGTAGACATATTCAGAAAATGCGTCAATTCACACAACTTAGATAGTTAACGACTTTTCAGTAATTTCAGGGAAAATAATGCTAACTAACTAATAATAACTAAAAATGAACATGTGAAATGAACAGAGGTTTTGATGTCATCTAAAAATAAAACAATCATGAAAACATTTCCTTGTGTTTGAAGTTTACCTTGATGATCCGGAAGGAAAGATAACGTTTGTTGAGAGTGAAGACTTGATACTCATCACTAGTATCATCTAACACGTGACGTAACGTTAGAAGAGAATTAGCGTTGTTCAGGATCGAGCTTCGCCACAGTGGGTCACCCTGGGGTGGTACAGGCATAAATTAACTAATTTATTGATTAATGGGCTTAAAAATTTGTTGAGATATGGCAATGATATTGTGCCGCCCCGGCAAGATTTTCTGTAGTCGGGATTACGCCACTGCTTCCCGTGTACTTGGAGCGTCTCAAAACATCCAACTTATACTATTCACGTGAAACACAGATGATAACATATTGTGTACAGTAAATGTAGCAGCCGGTATGTGACATACTTCATACGCGACCACAGTGTCACTCAGGGCCTGGGTACTGGACTCGTACAAAACACTGAGATCCTCAAACTGGTCACTGTCTATGAAGTGATCCTGGAAGAGCTTTAGTGCCATCTTTATCGCAGGAGAGAGGACCTGTGGAAGAGGGAGGGGTGTAGTTATAATATGTGTTTTATATCACTTCATATCAACATTCAGTTAAGCGTTTGGCGGGTTTTAAGACAAACTGCTTTTAGAAATATTAATAGCTAGCTCAGTAGCTGGGTAGAGCAGGGGGTATAAAATACATTGTTATTGTATAATGTTTATTGTACTATAACCGAGCCCATATCATTTTTTTATTATTTACTATTTACCTCTTTCAATATTTCCATGTCCTGGAAGACCCACTCATCCTTAGGATTTGATATTCTGATGTCATTCTTAAGGAGGGCGTGAATACCACACAGTATGCCCATGGTATTGGGTAGTTTGGAGGGAGAGGCCGAGGCCAGGGCCCGACGTCCTAAAATAGACATTCCGAAGCATAAAGTAACAGTGTCGTGGATGGAGAGAGGTCGTTTTGAGGGGAGTACTTCTTCTCTTTTAGCCAGACAGCATCTGTGAAGAGAGGGTGTCAAATAGTGAGCTCGTTTTGAATAGTCGTAATTTTCACCTTTGGGTTTCGCGATAGAAAACGAAATTCAAAGTATTGCTATTGTCTAGCGGCGAGCTGAAATATTCTAAAACAACGGTTAAGTTCGGGCTTTTATCCATACTGAAAAGAATTCCAAAAACGGTAACACTTCTTACTTGATCCACTTAATGTATTCGTCTCTGAAGCGTTTCCTTGATATCCCAGCCTTCGCTATGTCGTAGTCCACATCAATGTTTGTGGAGAAAGACATGCTTTCTCTTTCTATAGCGCTGTCACTTGACAGTGCCATCCCCTGCAGGTTTTGACATTCCGAACATTGTTTTTATAAAACTATTTAACGTTGAATTTCTACTGACATATATTAACTTATTATTAACTTTCTCTATTAATTATTTAGTGGCTTTCCAGTCCGATAATAGAAACAGATCATCACCTCCGATCATTCTTTAAAATATTTATCTGATTATCTAGAAAATTTGAATAAAATATTGTGATTGTTCTACTTAGTACTTACGATGCTAAAACATACAAGCATAGTGAGAAAAATACACTATTATTTCTATACAGATCTTGTTTTGGTTGGTATATTCAGATATGTAAACAGTTCCTGTTTTGCTTTAGCAAGATCAAACATGTAAGCAAAACAGGGTCTTAAATAGCGACTGTTAGGATATTGCTTGGATTTCTCACGCCCATTAATTTTGGGCGTGGGAAGTGGCATGAAATCAAGCTATTACTTCTCAACTTGTACTTTGTGTTGTGATCGGTAATTATTTGATTAAATACCCATAAAATACCCTTTCCATGAAATATCAAGCAAGAGTCTGCGGCCATTTGGTCTCACTTCACATAATATTATCTGCAATTCAATACGAATTTAAGTAATTATCCAATACCTGTGGAGTTTGAAGGAACATTTGAATCCACTCGAGAAACTTGGAATGTTTTATCGTGAAGAAGATAAGAGATTGCACGAAGTACTTGATCAGAGTCTTGCGGAGGGCGTGCATGGCCAGCATTGTAGAAGCTGAGTTCTTAGTGATTGAATAACCTTCCAGAACATACTTCGTATTCATCACCTGAAGAATAAACGTCAGTGATGACACTGGTCTAACAATTACATTGGACATTCAACTTAATTACCGAACTCTCAAGCTCAGTTTAAACACTGATATTACGTTTGAGAAAGTAGTGATCGGTACCTCCCAAGCGAGCCAGCGGCGGTTAAAAGCTGCGTTGACGGACAACATTCCTGGAGCATGTCCTGGCTCGCAACACAAACAGGATTTGTCATCTCCGTCATCTTCTGTGATCGCTTCTACCTCCCTCATCTGGGTTGTTGTGAAGTTTATCAGATACTGTCCAAACAACTTTTAGCTGTTTCACAATTCTACGAACATCATCGTTAATCCAAGGAAAAAAGTTTTTCTAACTATTTTGTTAATAATTGAACAATAATATCGCACCTGGCAGAATGTTCCCTTGAACTCGAGACCACGGAGCTGGAATGTGACTAACCCGTTCCCAAACTCCACAATATGAACCAGTGCGTTGAGATAGTCACTAGCCATGATGAAGCAGTCACCAGAGGTCACATTCCCCCACCTTCCCATCATCAGGTCACCACACAGAGAGTTCTAGGTGGGCACTGTTTTCAGAAAACAGCCGTGGAGATAATAATGAGAGGTTAAAAAAGTTAAATTAATGCTCTGAATACTTTACAATTATGAAAATTTTGAATTAAAAAACGCTGATCAAACCTGCAGAGATCGGCTGAGATGCTCGTAAAAGATAGAGTTGAAGTTATTCTGATCAGTATCAAAGGTATGTTCGAGAGTGGCTGCTAATCGGACATTGCTGCTGTCATTCCTCCTCGTGTTGTAATCTCGTTCCCAAAACTTGAGCGGTCTCACGTACCCCATGATAAACAGAGCACTTCCCTGGGCAGTGATGGGTGAGTTATAACACGTGGATTCAGGTTAACCTCGCGGTATTATGCAGCCACAATTATAGTCGATGTAAAGTAGCTACTTATTCTCTCCTATTATATGTGACATAATGTCTATACAGACTAAATGATGGTGGATTACTGTTGACGGCTGTATCGCTGAATTGTCGTTATGATGCAGATTAATATTAGGTTGCAGTTAGCATCAACTGCATCATGTACTTTAAAGGCACTGTAGATTCGTAAAACACCAATATTTGGTAGGAAATCATAATATAGCTTATAGTAAGTACAACCAAAAGTTACCGGGTTTTATTAGTGGTTTTGTTAATTTCGATAATAGTGATGCGTCGGCATGGTTACCTATCAAAATATGGCGGAGCTGTAAATGTTGGCTGACCACAAAGTGAGATAATAATCTGTATTAATGTCTAAAATTCCATTGCCATTTTCAGAACCTCTAATCTAACCAACCAGCATTTTCTATAAGTCTGAAAGTCTATACCGAACATGCTATTTCTTCATCTTCTCTATATGCTATTTCTTCATCTTCCCCAATATAAAGCATGATAAGTCACATCAGCGACCCTTATCCTTGCTCTTCAACTTTAGGTCTTATTTCTTATTTCTATCATGTTTGATTTTTGTTGGCAAATTCTCATTAACACTATGTTACTTTGAATTCTAATCTTGGATCAAGGTTGAGTGATTGACATGGTATGATGGTATGTATTCCAATAGTACCAATACCATGTATTTGCCGACGTCTGACATTGTTTGTAATAGAAAATTGTTTATAATAGGTTCAGTGTGTCAGTGTGTCGTGTGGTACATTCATTTCCTAACCAACGATAATGTTTATATCACGTTTATGTAGTGCAGTCTTACTTCCACTGTTGTATTTGTGTCTCTGTATAAGTGTGTTGTTGTTGTTAAGCTCAGCTTGTCGTATTTCCCTTTTATTTACTATATTTTCTTTGGGAATATCGGAATTTAACGGTCCACGTGACCAGAACCCTCGACTGTGCCTTAGTTAACATTTTAATTCATATTATCTCATTGTTATATGTTACAAACACAGCAGGAATGCAGTCCTGTGCTAGATAGAGAGCTGATGTACATAATATAAAAACTTAAGATACAGTTATCTAGAACTGTCGCACAAATCGGCAATTAAAGCAGCATCTATTTCCTTGATTTTGGAGTTTGGGCTAATATCCAGCTTGAGAGTTTTGGCATTTTGTAATGTTTTTTAACGCAATTTGTGGTATCTACCAGTGAGCGATAATGTTACGAGTAATATTACCAACTCAGGCTCGGCCTTACTGCATTTATGTTAAAAGCTTGATATATAATATTATGTCGATTATAAATAAATGAAAGGTACATTTCATCAGGTCATCGATCAATGGTGATAATCAACGCAGAGCCCTGGACTCCAAAAAGCGAGATTGAAGCTGATGAGGAGTCCAGGGACGAGGAAAAGAAACGTTCCGAGGATTCCTCTGACAGTAGTAAAAAGGAAACCGGGCAGTTATTTGCTATCCACGACCTTGCCAACGACTATATCCACACTTTCAGCGAAAAAGGCCGGCCCAAGATATGTCGGATGATATGGGCGGTTATTCTTTTGACAGTAATCGGGATATCTGTTTACCTGATCGTTACGTTGCTGCAAGATTTTTTCATGTACAACTCATTCAATCAGTCCACCACAATGTGGAAGGATAATCTAACCTTGCCCGCCATCTCCATCTGCAGTACTAACTACGTGAACTACACAGCACTTGAAGCTGACTTGTCTTCTACTGAGAAGTCAAAAGAGCTGCTAGGGTATTATAACGATTTCGCGAAGACAGTGGCGCAATTTGAGAAAAGAGGTAATATCATGTATAAAATTGACATAGATCAAGCTAGAGAGTTAGTGGCTTGGGAGATCGATAAGGGCTTCCTCAACACTCGCTTCAAGAACGACGTTACATCGCTACTCGTGGGGGAATCAGACTACACGTTTGAAGGTTGGGGCCGGAAAATAACGAACCTTGCGAGGGTTGCGCAGGCAACAGAGCTTGGAGCTTGTCTAGAACTCAACGACAAGGGGAAGTTTATTCAGTCGTATGCTGGTGTTAATGGGGGCCTGAGTTTTGACATTGACGCCAACGTCCAAGATTACCTTACGACAACTGCAACTAAAGGGTTCGTCCTCTTCATCCGCGATCAGGACGAAACGGTAATGATGAATTCAGGAGGGTATGTCATCGCACCAGGGACAGAAAACTTTGTTAAATTGTCTGCAAAAACAATGACACGTTTAGGTGGTAACTACGGTACATGTGAGAATGTACCGAGCCAGTATGCTAGGTACGGTACCCACTACGAGTCCATACGGGAGTGCGTTCAACGTCAGAAGATTTCAGCAATGTTGGACGAGTGTCAGTGTTTACCGTGGTATGTTGCCGAGAGATTGTACAACTCAAATAAGACAGATGTTTTAGATAAAATGGTGCAGCAGATAGAAATAGCTGAGGCTGAATCTGCCACGGACGCAACACCGACTGGATCCAGCGATACTGGTGACACTGATTCTAGTGAGGACAATGATTCTAGTGAGGACAATGCGTCTAAAAGAAGAAGACGAGATGTTAGAGTCTTCAACCGGGAAATAAGAGCTCGTCAGGAGAGGCAAGCAGATGGCGGGGATGATCCAACACCAACACCAACAAGTTACACAACAAGTTCAACCCCTATCAAGCGAACTGAACCAGCACCAGCACCAGCAGTCCCACTTTTTCAATCATCCTACAAGGACAGAGTATGCGGTTACGTTTACCAGACTGCTTGTGATGCGGTTTTAGAGCGGTTCATCAAGCGTGGATCTGTCCTACAGAAGTGTCCTGAGCCGTGTGCGTATAAAGAATGGGGCGTTGACCTGACATCTACAGTATTCCCGCCCACAGAGTCTTATCTGCAAAACATCATGAAATTCAAGGGGAAGTACGCCGAGAAACCACCTACATTTGAGTATGCCCGAGAAAACATTGCCCGGATTCACATATACTACGATGACATTAAGATAGAGGAAATAAACCAGGAAGCAGCATACGACTGGGCTAGTTTTGTAGGCGAACTTGGAGGTATTGGTGATTTGTTTGTTGGCTTCTCTTTCTTTACCCTGTTTCAACTCATTGAGATATTCATAGCATACATGTTTCGATGTGTTCATAACACCTACCAGAAGAAGAAGAAGAAGAAAGAGGAAGAGAAGGCCGAAAATGTTGAAGTAAACGAAATTGCTTTTAGGGAATTGTCAGTAAGCACTCCAAGGGATACTGAGTCAGAACTGTCCCAAATCAAAACAGAGAATTGTAAAGATGAGAACAAAGATAAGGACATTTACGAGATCCCCGATTAATGAAATTATAATAGATTACTAGGTTTGATAAAAGTTGTTATTTTAAGTTTTCTAGAGATTATTTTCATGATTTTTATCCGTACTTGTCGTGTCATGAGTATCTAGTATGTACATGTAGTATGTACTATGTAGTTCAATGAATTAGAATATATTTTCCAATCAGAAATATATAGTTTCCAATATAAAATCTCAAACTTTGTTTTTAAAAGTTATCTGATCAAGGCCAAGGCGCTGGATAAAGAAGAATTTTCAATTCAACTCTCAGTGATGATTTCCAAAAAACATCATGATTTACTACAAATGTCAACGATTCCTCAAAATTATAAAAATTGTATTTACCTGAAAAGGCGAGAGCGGAGCGCACACAACGGAGCTAAGAATTGTTTGTAGGAAGAGAAAACCGCTGTGAGGGATGGAGAAGGGCTGCGCAAACGCGTGAACTGCGCTTCCCCAAACTATTTGCCAAGGGGCTATGTACGTTAACAGGAACTGCGGATATAAATTGGTAAACTTCTACGATCTTAGTTTATCATGATTTATTTAATATCATATGAGACTTTCAAATTACATTTTTTAGCGTCTGTAAAATACTACTACTATTGTCAATACTTGGATAGAGGAATGAAAATGCGATAATATATAAAAAATACTCCAACCATAAATGATCAATTTACGGCCAATACGCTGACAGTCATGACCTTCCATTTTTTCCACAACAAATAAATTTAGACTTATCAAATAAAAGTGTCATAATACCTCCATCTTCAAGACCAAGTCTTCTATCTTCCCGACCACAATTGACATTAAATAGTAATCTATGGGGAAGGTCTCCGAGTACCCGTGATAGTCAAACTCGAAGAAGAGAACAGTAAAAAGGAGGATCTTGTACTGGGAGGTGGTGTAGCTGTAACACTGTCGGAACAGTTTGATACCAACCACGCTGATTATCAGAGCTCCAAACCTGGCAGAGAGAGAGTGGACTTTTTTTTAATACTTTCAACACTAATTACTAACGTATAACAAGTAATTTAAGCTAACCTGGTGGTATTCAGAGGGCATTAATGTAATGCACAGTACACTTTAGTACAATTTAGTGTATACAACAGAGAGGTCGTTAAATAATCTGAGGTACCAGAAGTCGGAAAAGTACACAAGTTCACTCATCGCTAGCTCAATCACGCATACTCCCTAAATTAGATTAGATGTGCACATTTTCCCTGTTAACATCAAGAACAAACAATTAACTCACGTGACTCCAAAGTTTTCCTTGATTTGGGGGACACTGTCATTAACAGCAGCCAGGAACAGGAGTGGGTAGAGAACGTTGCGCTCCACAAACTTGACCCACAAGTACGCTTTTTCGTACCACATGGCACGAGCCTCACCTGAAAGGTAAGTTAGTAAGTGTAGATAATATGACATGAATAGTGGAAATTCAAGGTCCAAGGATGATATTGCTATTTTTATCATCGACTTTGACTCTCTAGTATATGGCGAAAATCAAAAATTCGCTATTCTACTGTGGCACCAACCGACCATCAGATAGTCGCCTCCCCTCCCCCGCGTTGGGGTGGAGGGAGGGATTAATTTCCGTTCAAAAGTAATGGTATTAGCAGGTGTGGGACCATAGTATTGATAAATTAAATAAATTTAGCCCTCCCTTCACGATGGCGGAGGACACGAGGGCGTAGGACGCAATGGCGGAACTTTCCTAAAAGGGTGGACACGATCACATGACTCACTTTATCATGGACACGAGGGCGGAACACTGACCTAAATTTGTCCATAAAATCTGAACTGATGAAAAGTCCATAATCTTGATATTTCAACACTAAGTCTCACTTGAATGACTTAAATGTACATCTTTGTTGGGTATTAATGTCGAAGCTTGTAGTAAATGTTAGAATTTATTTATTATTTATAAATTTGACCAAAACCCATAATCATGGGTAGAGTGGACCGCTGCCTGTGTCCCTCTTTTCCAAACAAAAGGAAATGATATTAAAATTCGTAATGGGTGAGATCGTTTATCTCATCCATTGTACATTGTACATTGTATATGCTTTCTACAAGATTCCCAGTTGGGAATTAAGTTTTAAATTCTGCGATAAAGTTTCAACATTTACAGCACACCACTGCTCGTAACAAGGTATGATTTTGTCCTACAATATATTTTGACAATATACGTAGACGAAGAGTGTTTAGTTTTACACCGTTCCGATTTAAATGATGGTTATAGGCGGGAAAGGGACCCCTTAGCCCTGTTCACGCAGGCTCACGGGCAAACCTAGATGTCACCCCACGTGAGTGCTGCGCGCGATTTGACTGAGCAAGTCAAGTAGTGCCGACCCTGAGGGGCTCCCGGGCTGTTATATAGCAGCGGAATGGGACCACTATTGGATCGTTCACCTGGCCTTATCTTATTCCGACAAGATTACATAGTTTTATTCGAGAGATAATCTCGAACATTCGTCAGTGGAATAAACGAGGATTCGTTTTATATCCAAAAAATGGCCGCTGTAAGTCGGAGCGCGGTAAATCGGGGTTTAACTGTAGTTATAGCGGTTCAATAACCACATACTACTGTAGTGTCTAATATACAATCTACAGGTCAGGTAATTAATCAAATTCTCACTAGGTATGTAAGTTATTATGCTCAATGTGGTAAATAGGAGGTATTCTATAATCTAGATCTATAAAACGGAGTACAAGAAGGAAAAAGTACGAGTCACCGGGGGCTACAAAACAACCTGTATTCGAATACTCCTCGATTGTCATATAATAGCGTCTGAGCACAGCTAAACACCAACCTGTACTGATTTATTGTCTTGACCGCCTCTTGAGCTCTCTATACGATTACATAACACATGCGAACAGCATAAAATAACACACAACACTGATTTGGAAAAATTTGGCGTCTCTACCAGTGCGGAAAATAGCTGATTTTGGATATTTTCAAAACGACCTGTATGGAAAAAAGTGCTTAATTTCTCTCTTATGGCATTTTCCTTAGAATCGTTTACACTTTCGAATGTGGTATTTCACTAATAGGTATTTGAGAAGATGTGATAACAACTATTTTTACCCCCACTTTTTACCGAAAAAAGATGCAAAATTTGCACCCTTTTTGAAATAGGCGTCAAAAATCAACATGGGAGCTTGACAAGCTAAAATCTAGTTTCCTTAGTTTATAAACTAAGTTTATAAATAATAATTTTGAGAGAAATTTCATCAAAAATGAATACTTTGGGCAGATTAAAACACACCCTTAACTTTTAGCGAACTACCATTTCGCAGCTTTTATTTTCTTATAGTTTTTTGTATTTAACTTTTTGGCAAAATTGTATGATCATAATTATAATGGATACCAATTATGAATTAGGCGTCCTCTTACAATTATATTACTCATAACTAACAGGTACACCCTGACGGCAGACACAATGGAGACGCTTCTAAGTTGTATACTGGCCATGGCGTTCTAGGTGATAAACGTTGTGGCCCAAACAGGGTGGCCCAAAAGTAACTGCCCACACGCAACCCTTTAATGACTCACGTAATTCTTCTTAGAAGAATTTTTCTTAGAAAATTTTAGAGATTATAGATATGGGTCAAACTTAGATTTCCTGAAAGTTTCGTCAAATTTAATTAATAACAGTGGGTGTGGCACGCCAATCCCTCTTTTTCGCTATTGTCACCATAAAGTGAGAACGCTTTCAGCTAGGAACTTCAAAGTTTCTAGACATGTACATGTTTGGTTTGATAATTGAAGTGTTTTCCCAAAATTTCAAGTTGGTTGTTTACAATTTAAACGAGTTATGACCCTTTTAAGATATTGCAGATAAGTGATCTTGGCACTTAACCCTGTACGTTATACATGTTATAACTGGTGAGGTAAAATCTATGAGTGTGTCGATTATAATCATAAACAATGCAGTGCCGGTTGTGCTTCTAACAAATAGCTTCAAGCTATACTATACAGGCACGATAGCATGACACATCTTCATGAGTTAGCAGTTCCTTTAATCAGAAGACACGCAACCATGATCAGCAATTTGCCATACAATTTTTTTATTCAGACCTTGCCTAAGTTCCATTTATTTTGAAGTTTTTGTTGATGTCCACATATAAGCCCACGGTATTAATTCCTACTTAACCAGTCAACTACTTTTGTTCATGTTTCATGCTACCCTGATCATTATGAGCCGAAGATATTTTTTCGGTTTTCTGAAGTCCGTAAATCTCAATAGAAATCAGTCAGGGGTGTAGGAAGCGGGGGGGGGGGGGGGGGGGGGGGGGGGGGCAGGGGGGCCAAGGCAGATTAAAACACACCCTTAACTTTTAGCGAACTACCATTTCGCAGCTTTTATTTTCTTATAGTTTTTTGTATCCAACTTGTTTTTTTTTCAAACAAAATTTTTGGCAAAATTGTATGATCATAATTATAATGGATACCCAATTATGAATTAGGCGTCCTCTTACAATTATATTACTCATAACTAACAGGTACACCCTGACGGCAGACACAATGGAGACGCTTCTAAGTTGTATACTGGCCATGGCGTTCTAGGTGATAAACGTTGTGGCCCAAACAGGGTGGCCCAAAAGTAACTGCCCACACGCAACCCTTTAATAACTCACGTAATTCTTCTTAAAAGAATTTTTCTTAGAAAATTTCAGAGATTATAGATATGGGTCAAACTTAGATTTCCTGAAAGTTTCGTCAAATTTAATTAATAACAGTGGGTGTGGCACGCCAATCCCTCTTTTTCGCTATTGTCACCATAAAGTGAGAACGCTTTCAGCTAGGAACTTCAAAGTTTCTAGACATGTTTGGTTTGATAATTGAAGTGTTTTCCCAAAATTTCAAGTTGGTCGTTTACAATTTAAACGAGTTATGACCCTTTGAAGATATTGCAGAAACGTGATCTTGGCAATTAACCCTGTACGTTATACATGTTATAACTGGTGAGGTAAAATCTAAGAGTGTGTCTATTATAATCATAAACAATGCGGTTGTGCTTCTAACACATAGCTTCAAGCTATACTATACAGGCACGATAGCATGACACATCTTCATGAGTTAGCAGTTCATTTAATCAGAAGACACGCAACCATGATCAGCAATTTGCCATACAATTTTTTATTCAGACCTTGCCTAAGTTCCATTTATTTTGAAGCTTTTGTTGATGTCCACATATAAGCCCACGGTCTTATTCCTACTTAACCAGTCAACTACTTTTGTTCATGTTTCATGCTACCCTGATCATTATGAGCCGAAGATATTTGTTAGGTTTTCTGAAGTCCGTAAATCTCAATAGAAACCAGTCAGGGGTGTAGGAAGCGGGGGGGGGGGGGGGGGGGGGGGCAGGGCGGCCATCGCCCCCCAATAAAATCTGGACTCGGGGCAAAAAAGGGCCAACTTTTTTATTTAGGTTTCTAAAAAAATTTTCGGTTTTTTTAACCGAAAACTTTGTAGGTCAAAAGTTTTCAAATTTTTTCTGGAAAATACTTTTGTTCATGTTTCATGCTACCCTGATCATTATGAGCCGAAAGTATTTTTTCGGTTTCCTGAAGTCCGTACCTATATTCGGGAGGCTGTGGATGTGATTGGTTTCATATACTTATAGAAAACGTGATATTTGGCCCGCAGATTTGAAGGAAAATACGCGAATTTGGTCCTCAGATTTAAAGGAAAAATGCGCGATTTGTCGCGAGAACTGAAAGAATCGCGATTTGTCGCGAGGATCATCATATTATTAAGTTTTATTCTTCTTTTAAATTCAATGTAATAATACGTAGATTGACTCCGACCAGATTCATACAATCTAATTGTCCCATGTTTGCTTTGAAAGCGACAAGCTAAGAATAAGTCTAACATCCAGAAACTAGATGATGGAACTGTCACCTTTGAAAACAGCAGTCCTGTTCCTGGGACTGATAACGTTGCTTCCTACTGCTCGCGGAGGAGTTACGATAAAAAGAGACACTTTGTTCGCCAATACCTTGGAGAAATGGAACGTCAAAATCCGAGACAGACGTGATTTAAGGTTTTTAGATCATACCTTTTATACTCCTTTGCCTCTTATCTTAACTGGGGGGTTTTAAGAAAAAAATCCAAAAAGTTTGCAAATTTTAGTTTTCCAAAATGTTAGTCATTTTCCTCTAGATTTTTCTCATGGTTATACTTGAATCTTAATTTCACTGAACTGTTTTGATTTTAGTAAAAAAATCCTAATTGAATGTTCAATTTTAAAATCCTTGTCATTTTGAGTATAAATGAGTGGTTGCGGTGGAAGATAAACTAGATACAGTAAATCTTCGATAATTTACCGCAAACCCCGATTTCGAAAAATTTTATTTTCCTGACAATTTTTATCCTTTTTTCGACAGTTTGGTCAAAATTTTTCGACAATTTGAGTTTTTGTACTAGGGAAACCCTAAAAACACCCTAATCTGTCCAGGTCTGATTATTTCTTTAAAATTTCGCAAATCCTCCGATTCCAATGCCAAGTGTTTGGCAACTAAAGTGGAGGGAAGCCGCTGTTCGGCATTTGTATCACTCATAATCATAGACGTTCACATTTAGTGATTTAGACTTTAGAGGAAGGTGATTATGTTATGGACTTTATTGACGTGATCCCTTATAGTATTATTACTGAGGATGCGACCCCTTACGCAAGCTCATTACCTCGGTTCAAGGTGTGCTTGTTATGAAATCTATCAAATCTTTAGACATGAGGCCTATCCAGTATCCACCCATCTTAATTCTTAGACCAATTTCGGACGCTAAAAACCAAAACCCCGATTTACTGCAAACCCCGATTTACCGCGGGTTTTTATTTCCCCAGTAAGTCCGCGGTAAATCGGGGTTTTACTGTATTTATCTCACACTTTCATTTCAGTGAGAGGTACGATCGTTTTAAAAGAGCAGTGGATTCGGTCGAGAGAACCACTTCAGGGATAGTACTGAGAAGTCTGAACTCCTTCACAGTTATGGTAAGTTTAGTGTAAACATGTTAGTTTGGACAACATGTTAGATACGTAGCGCAAGTATGTTAAGAATTTGGCACTCGTCTATAGGGCTCCAATACCAGTCCTCGGTTTCCACATTAAACTCTGTCATTTTGTATAGAGCGTATACACTATACAAACATCAACGGAAAACATTTCAGAACAACGAAGAATGGGAGACAATAGCGGTCCCAATCTTAAGAGAGAGCCTCAACAATTCCACGGATAAACTTGTGAGCGTAAAGAAACGATCAACCGAAAGGCACCCTGAACATCTACCCCACCCTAAACATCTACCACTGGAGAACAACAACTGGGAGGAGGAAGTGGGCCTCGTCGCACCAGCAGATCAAGGGAGCTGTGGAGCCTGCTGGAGCTTCCCCGACGTAATTAGTCTTTTCATTTCAGAAAGTTTAAACATGATAAGCAAAAAAGTAGTTTTCATCGGATAGCCCACTCTGTTTAGCCCACATCTGTGACTATGAAAATACCGAATGTAACAGTTAATTTTGTAACTAAAAAGCAAGCTGATTCAGCTGAACGAATGTCTGGCCTCCAGTATATCATTAATATTTTGATGTGCCCTATCTGCAGTTACAGGAAATCTAACTTTTCCTCAGATTGGAGCAATGGAGGCAGTGAACACCAAACTGACCGGAGAACATAAAGCATTTTCGCAGCAATATTTCGTGGACTGTTCTTACAGCTACTCCGGCTGTGCAGGGGGTACTGTGAACTACGGCTTCAAACTCACCCAGCAGCGACAGTTCTTGCCGGCCTATGAAGACTACCCTTTTACTGGAGATTGTAAGTAGGCGAATCCTGTAGGTGACGGCCAATATATTAGATTATACTGAATACTGATCACATAACTATCTTATAATCCGGGCAATCCAGACATTCGTTTCAATGAAATGAAATGAAGTGAGGTATTCATATCCCGCTCATACGATTAACCAAAAACACAAGGAAGGTGGTTAACCATGTCAGAGCGGCTGAAATATTTGTTTCAAGAAACTAGATTTTAGTGCGCCTTTTAAAACATCATCGATAATTTCAGTTAACGGGTGCCCATACACGGATGACTTTAAAACCATGAAGAACAATGCCATGACTAAGATCTGGATTCAAGACTACATGCCCTTAGAAAAAAACGAGCATGGCTTAATGGAAGGACTGCTAACCTCTCCAGTTACTATGGGTGTGACAATCAGCGAGGATCTGTTCGCTTACTCAGGAGGTAATGTTTCCCCTTTTAACTTGGATTGTATTTTAAAATAATCTTTAAAAGTTATAATATCTTCTCAAATTTAACAATCAACTCTGTATTTATATTCGATGAGTTTTTAAAGAAATGTAGGTAGCTTATCTCAAAATCCGGACCCTTGCTTATCTTAAGTACTAGTTGAAATGACTCAACACCAGCGTGAAGATGTAAACATATCAGGTGAATTTGTGGATGAAAACTGTGCGACAGCTGCCAAGCCTCACGCTCTTCTTCTAGTAGGATATACGGAGAAAACACTACGTGTCAAAGCAAGGTGAGGCTAAGAATATGTACCACATTTCATGTTAAAGCTAGGTGGCTCAGTTGGTTAATCTGCCTGGCATTGCTTGAGGTACCAGGTTCGATTCCCGGCTCTGTCACTAGCCGTGGGGTGAGGGTCGTCGACGCTCAGCTAAGGATCCTGAGTGGTCTATGCAGCCCCCGAGTCCATTCAGCCAAATGCTCGAGAAATCAGGTATAAGGGTTAAATGAGGAGCTGCCCATTGCAGCAAAGTCTCGGGCGAAGAAAGTATGGTACACACTACCTTAAACCGTCACTGGCCTAATGTATAATTGAAACCTTCGGCTTCCTGTAGTTGGCTGGTTACACACTTGTGTAACAATGTGGCTGTTGGAATGTCTGAAGTAAAATAAGTGTTGAGATAAAAAAAGGTGAGGCTAAGAATATGTACCATATTTCATGTTAAACTTAGGTGAGGCTAAGAATATGTACCACATTTCACATCAAAGCTAGGTAATGCCAAGAGTATGTACCAATGGTAAGCAGCTGCTATAATGACTCATAACCTCAGTTACGGAACTGACTTTGGAGAGGGAGGTTACATCAACTACCTGCGTGGACACCCCTCACTTCACAACTGCCATTTCTTTGAACATGCTTACTCTGTGTTGGCAACGTATAGGCGAGGTAAACATTGAACCTTTATTTTCTGTGGGTATTTGTTTTATTCGATTTTTGAGTCCCCGGATCCCACAAGAATTTGATTAAACACAGTAAAACTGACACAACGTTCACAGATCTGGAATACAAGTATTGCAATGACCATAAGCCAACAACCCATGCAATATGCCAGGAGTCTTGTCTTGCCATGAACACGGAAACTGAATCTGGATGGAACTTGGCTGTCATTCCAAGTCATTATCACAATCAAATCGTGGTTGATATGCTGAACGTTGACTTCCCGGGAAAAGCTAATGAACTTTGGATCGGACTTACGTAAGTTTACTATGTTTTTGCAAAATTCAAATAACAAGTCAATATCTAATAAGTCGTCACATTGTACATATCACAACAATATTCACAATTTTTTCAGTGGACATGGAGATGATTTTTCTTTTTATGACTGGGCAGACAACTTTACACCAGCTCACTTCATTTGGATGTCTAAAGATGGGTTTGGAAGACGTTACGGGTTGATCATGCAAACAGATGGAAAATGGACTACTAAAGGATCTGAGACATACGAAACACGAGGACTCTGCAGCAGAGCAAGTCAGTAACTTTTTACTAACTCACTTTTTACTCAGTATTTCGACCATTTCACAAATCACAATATTTATCAATTAAATAAATCAACCTGAAGTTTATCCATATTTGTAGGTTAACCACAGACGATTTTCTATCAATTTAATCCTGTATATTGTATACATATCAATATAACCAACCAACTCATTGCTCATCAGTAAATTGCTGGAACATAGAAAATGCTGTGAAGAATGGTGCGGTGAAATTCAACAAAGCTGACCTATCTGAGGGCACGGTAGCATCAGTGAAGTGCACAAACGGATTGGAAGTGGAAGGAGCCAGCAAGTTGACATGTGTCGGAGGATTGTGGGACAGCGAGATACCCCAGTGTGTTGAACCAGTAGCAGCACCAGTAGCAGCACCAGTCCTACTAAAGGGAGGCAGAAAAGGCAAAAAAAGTAAACATCCCTTATATAAGTTTAAGATATAAGCTAAAAACAAACATTTCGTAGACATATTAAAATATCATTTTTCAAAGGCTTGTCAGCATAAAAACCACCAACAAGAAATGTTTGGATGCGCATTTCTAATGATACCATTTCAGGTAAGGGAGGGAGAGCCAAAAAGGAAAGGAAACCCAAGGACAAATTACATAGAAGTAAAGGAGAACTAGAGTAGGAGATGTTTAAATTATAAAGGTGTGTATTTTCCTCATTTCTATGTTGGGGTACTGATACGTTAAATAAGTATAATTAATATCATCTGCAATTTTAATATGATGTTATATAAAATAACAACTTTTTGTAGGGACCAACGAAGAAAAGAGGAGAAGGAAATAGAAGGGGAAAAATGGAAGAGACAATTGACATATTATTTGAAAAGAAAAAGCCGTATTATAAAATTCTTCCGTCCTGATTTTAGTCTTGTTATACATATTATTGAAACGTATAAAATTTCGTGTATCATTGTCCAATTTTCCAACTCTCGTAATCAACAAAATCCACCAAACACAGGTAATTTGTTAACTCATTGAGTAAGAAGATAAAGCTGAGTAGGTCACCGTTTTATAATACATGTTATATTATGTATCTTGAAACATTGGCGCCAAAATTAGATATCGCGAAAACAGCTTGTCCTGTTGTACATTTACATTTGGTCGATAAGAGAAAAAATTACCTAAATTTACTTCGGTTGCTAGTGGACTGATTGCTGTTGCTATGGTGGTCACTGGTCATGGTAACGTAAAAACTTAAGAAGTCACCATTAAACCTTAGAACTATCAACTACCAATAATTTTTTACAGAATGAAGTTTAGACAAATGGATTAAAAGTTATTATCCAAAAAGTATATTATATCCAAAAAGAACATCCTCGCAAGACTTTTAAAACACCCTGTAGTACTCTTTTAGGACCTATTTTCTGAAAGAAACAAATATATCTATTTGTAAGTTACACCCGTATTTACACTCAGAATTGAGTTTGACCATTTCCCGATACGAGATTGGGGAGCTGGAGGGGTTCTATAAACAAAGAAACATGTATGTATCTGTAGCCCCAGCACTTCATGTTGTCGTTGTGGAAGCGTGCCTATGAGGTAGCGTGTCTGACGATATACAGTGCGAAAATCCTCGACACTATATTGTAAGGAAACAATTTAGTTCTTTAGTACAAGTAACAAGTACACTAGGTTACACTGTATTCTTGTATTGGATTAATTAGTGTAATACTATTCTCGTGAGCTACGAAAACACGTCTTTATAAATTTTGGTACCGTTGCTCTCCTCTAATGGGTATCACGTATTTATTTCAGTAAACTAATGAATATTGTCCTAAGACTACTTGTCCTAAGACTATCTTAAAATTAGGTTTAGGAAAACGATCAGCCAAGAGTCAAAGTTTGACAATATAGACTCTACAATTGGTGTAATGACTTGCCAGATTCATTACACTAGCAGGAACCCGTCTAACCCTAAAGTGGTGTCAAGACTCAAAAGACTTGAATAATTATTACCTATTTAATTCGCGTTTTTGACACCACTCGGGGTCCAAATTTTAAGCACTAAAATTCTTATACCTTGGCCAATTTTTTATTATTTTATGCTGATTTGACCCAGTCAAAAAAGTTTCAGTTGTATATCTTTTACGGTTTTTGCGGAAAGTCGCGTTAAAGTTGATGCCGTGGTATCAGTAAAATGGCACGGATCCATAGATAATATCGTCTCGCTTTATATATAGTAAAATTAGAACTTCAACAATATAGACTCATAAGGGTACCGCGACAATTGACCCCCCCCCCCCCCCCCCCGACAATTGACCCCCTATTTTATTACACTGGGGTCAATTGTCGCGAAATATAGGGTTTAGTACGACAATTGACCCCCCAACAATTGACCCCCGATGTAATTACATTGGGGTCAATTGTCGCGAAATCTAGGGCTTAGTACGACAATTGACCCCAATGTAATTACACTGGGGTCAATTGATCGGGTTAGGGTTAGGGTTAGGGTCAGGGTCAGGGTCAGGGTCAGGGTCAGGGTCAGGGTCAGGGTCAGGGTCAGGGTCAGGGTCAGGGTCAGGGTCAGGGTCAGGGTCAGGGTCAGGGTCAGGGTTAATTGTACTAAATTATATTGTCGGGGGTCAATTGTCGGGAGGTCAATTGTCGGGGGGTCAATTGTCGAGGGGTCAATTGTTGGGGGGTCAATTGTCGCGTCGGGGGGTTAATTGTCGGGGGTCAATTGTCGCCCACCCTACATAAGGACCAATGCTAAAGATCTGTGAGTATCCATTATCCAACAACAGATCCCCCTTTTCTCCTCCCTTGTATTGAAACATTCTTACAATCTACATTACGCCCAGTTTCTAATTACCCCTTTTCTCCTCCCTTGTATTGAAACATTCTTACAATCTACATTCCGCCCAGTTTCTAATTATCTAATACCAATAGTTGGTGTGTATAATATTGTGTTGATATTATACATCATTACAACGGGGGAGATGCAACGACCGCTGGCATTAATGACATTGTCAGTATTTTCAGTATTGCCAAAATTTCGAATACTGACATTGATGGACATGATATGTTTCGACCCGAGATTATGCAGTTTTACAAATTTTTGAACACTTTTGAAAGTTTAAATTAATAATAAAGACACAAATATCAGAGCAGGTAACGTTAATGCCAGACGTGCCTATCATCGGTAAAATTTGAACACTGTCGATTCTAGACTGCTCTAGTGCTCTTGATCCGGCACTGTTCACTGTTCAGCAAACATAACTTTGAGACTTGATTAGATTGTCGCATGTTAAATATTAAATTGCAACTCAAATCACTTCAGAAAATAAAAAAATTAATACACCACATACTATGAACTTCAAAGAGAGCGTGTTCCTTAGTCTTCAAACAGGGAGTCAAGAACCAAAGGAATGGCATTGATTTACGTAGGTGGGGGATCAGGTAGTGTATGGTAACTCCTACCACGATGGTTATGATCTTCATTACCTGAAATGGGACTTGTAAAAATGGTATAGTTTGATAGGAGACTTAGTTAGGATTGTGTGGTCTTTTCTTTTGGCTACATACTTTCTGAAGAGTCTGGTCCTTTTGTAATAACGGATTTTAAATTATGTTTAAAAGCTGAGTGTCTGGTTTGGATTTAGGTTTAAATGCTTTTCCGATGCATAAGTGTACAGATTGGTTCAAATGATAGATTGAGTTGTCAATTTTAACTGGTGAACTTCAATACATTTTTTTTAGGTTGATCTAAATCCAGAGTAAAAAGAATAACCAGTTCTTTGTTAAATATTGTATTTGAAATTTACACAATTTATTGTTCATGAAACAAAAAATAAAGCTTGCGCTTGATAAACGAAAATACGTACATTTTTTATCATTATAAATCATCGCAGTCGCGAACTTTTAATTTATCATTAACGCTCAATTAAATTATAATTCCTTGCTTTTACAAATCATATCTAGTGATATTTACAATTAAAGTACACAGAAGACATTTAATCAAATTAAGTTAGAAGGCAACGACAATTTTTGAGCAATCGATCGCCTCAGTCTGTTGTTTTTGCAATGGGACAAGATCGCAATAAGATTTCTAGTCGCAATCTCGTCAAGCCTCCTAGCTTTCTGAGCATGAACACATATTCCTTCAAAGAAGTTTGAATCTATGAAATGGAGAGCTCTATAATCTTCAAAATAGTCCATATTTTCTTCAATGATTGCCATGCGAAACACGAATGGAGTCAGATCGGTGACGTTGTAAGCAGCAGCAACAACGTATGATTCGTGGAAGTTAGGATTTTTGGTCAGAAAGTTTCTGACCTGATCCGATGATAGGTTTAGAATGTTCATGTTAGACAGCTGTCTTTTATAAACAATCTGCAAGCTCACCAAGCGAGCTTGTTTTGTGCATTCTATCTGCTTCTCAAATGCCTGATCTAACTTGTAATGTCTAGCTGCTTTGGAGTACCTCTTTACACACTCCTCCATCCGCTCAATCGAGGAGCTCTTGTCTGCGGCCATAACCTGAGCTCTTCTCAGGTATATCTTCGCAATCTCCAGATGTCTGTTGAACTCCATACAGAGAGACTCTCGGTTGAGCTCATCATCTGGGTGCTGCTGCTGGAGATAGGCGAGTAGGGCGCACTGGAAGTGAGGTTTCTTACTGGCGTGGGGGTGCTGAATAAACAGTGCAAATTTATTGTGATTATACACCAGATCACAGATGTACATCATGTCGCTGAATTGCTCCGCCTCGAAGAACAGGTCAACAAGTTGCTGACAAAATCCAGCTTGAGCTAGTTTTGGAGCTTTCGCTTTGCAGAACTCTAAAACTTTGAGTCTGCCGTCAGAGCAGTGACCTCGTGTGTAACAGTAGTGTGCGAACAGTAGGAGTCGGAGTATGTTCTCCAGGAGAGACTTGGGTAAAAGATCGTCCCAAATCACGGAGGCAAGAATATTGACGTCAGAAACAAGATCTGCCAACTTCTTAAACTCTGAAAAAGGCAGATCCTTGGCAAATGTTGCGGTGACCATCCATTTCTTAAGTATCTTCACAATGAAACTTGAGATATCACTGCTACTAAGATTCCGGAATGCTACATACTGTTTTAATACGTTTGCAGATGCTTTGTGTCGCACAAGAACTTCGAGGTGTTTCTTCGCAGCATGGTTATGGCGGTAAACCATTCCTAGTTCTTTTGAAATTTTGTAAAATGTTGAGAACATTTCACACAAACCACTTCCTGATTTAACATATGTTCCTAGCAGATCGCCAATATAGATCTCATCCAGAGCAGCCCAATCTTTTGAAGTTTTCCCAACTGATCCGGGTTCCTGCCATTGATCTTCAGACTCTGAGTAAAGTGACATTGAAGTCTGGCCCTCAAATCGAGTACTAACACTTCTAACTCTCTTCTTGTAACTCCACTCCTCGATCCTCTGTCTGTTGCCTTGCTCCGAAGCTAATATCACAGTGGATTGTGACATAATTGAATATCTCTCCGTTATCAGAGAAATCACCGACTCCGGCAAAGATTTCATAGTGACGAACTCTTCAGCAACATCCATACATGCCCTCACGACCTCCAAGTCTTGACTGTTAACTGAAAAGAGTTGGGCGAGACGTTCTGCCCGCTGTAACGAGCCTGCTTGCAGAAATTGGGCTACAAATTCCTCAACTTTAGCGTCAACTTCCGCATCAATATCGAACGAATAGTCAGGAAACTGGTAACCTGGGGAGCGCTTTGGGACATCGATTAGCTCCCAGTCTTGTATTTCCTCGAGTGGGCTGAAGAAAGTTATGACCGGTTCTGTCTTGTTGAGATATGCATTTGCAAGAACCACCCAGTAGAATCTGGTGAGACGATCTGCTTGTGCCGGACCGATGGCTGGCGGTATGCAAGTTATAATAGCGGACAGCCCTTGACTGATCAAATAACTCCGTTCGATCTCTCCAAGCTCCGAGTTGCATCCCTCTTGGAGATAAAACTTGGCTCTTATGATAGGCCCTCTCTCTCCAAGCTCGGTTTGGAAGAGTTCGAGTCTGTTTTTAATGATGCTCCAAAAGTTCAGTCTACTTTGAAGGCTTTTCCACAAGTTGGAACTCTTGAAACGGTTCAACTGATTTTTTATCTGATTAAAAATAGCATCAGCCGTATTAAAACCAGCAATCTGGGCGAATTTTCTAGCGAGATCATACTGTTCATTTTTAATCATCTGATCAAGTACTTCGGCAGCTTCTTCCTCAAACACAGCTGTTGATATGGTCCTGTGAATTTCAGTTTTAGTAAACATGATTGCGTCTGGGTCCTCATGATGAAGTCGAAGAGTCAACTTAGCTTCTTGAAGAACCTCTTTGAGGAGGGATAGTCTGAAATAATCCGGAAGGGTGAAATATTTTGTGAGCGGATAATCAGACAAGTGCCTCACGACAAAAAACTGTTGGAAGTTCGTTTCGGCAGATGTTATCAGGTCAGCCAACATAGCAACTATGAAGTCTTTAACAACAGAAATGGTTGGGAGGATCTCATCAGTCCAGTTATCGAGGGATTTCAGACAATCAGAGGGCAGTTTCTCCGGTATAACTGTCATGCGGAGACTATTGGCTAGTTTAAGGATGGGTAAAAGATTTGAATCTGGATGAAAAATTATAAATGCTTTCAGTAAAACAGGCAGTTTCTCCCCTGCCAAGGACGGTAGGATTTCTGCAAGACCTTTGCTGACCAAGTCGACTTTCAGTGTTGCTTGTATCCAATTTACCATAGCAAGTTCACGAGTTGTGCAATTGAATGAATAGCTCAAAATAGCAGTCACTGGCATTATCTTTGAGAGGGTTACTAGTCTCTGGGCAATATTTTCTTGACCGATACAGGCTGCAAGTTTCCCAAAGAAGCCGCAGCAATCTAGATACTTTTGTCTGCCAAGTGCTCCGTATGTTTTTTCTTCCATTCTAAAGAAAATCTGCTTCATGTGGTTTTTCAAAGAAGGAGTGCACTTCCCAATGATCTCAACAGCTTGAACCTTTTCTATCTGCCACGCGTGAAGATTCCAAACCAAATCAAGCCAACTGTCATGCTGACAGACAATATCCAGTGAACCTCTTTTGCAGAACAGATGGAGCAACATTTGACCCTCAAACCTCGGTAACCCACCCCGTGATCGTAGGGCTTCCGAAAGAATGGGCAGGAGCTGCTCGACTTTGTTCTCACCTAACCACTGTCTGATCGTAGCTCTGTCTTCTGAACAAGAAAAGTATTTGTTGTGGCAGAGTAACCTCATAACTTGAACATCGACAACAATGTTAGTGCAATCCCTGCTCAGTAGCTCAGTGATCATGACCGAGGAACCAACAAACGAGTGATCAGAGGCGTGTTCAAGAGCAGCGTCGTAAATCTCTTTAACGATTTCATCCTTCGAAAAGTTATCCATGTTCGTTATTGACATGAAAGCATAAAACGGTCTGCCCATGGCAATGTAGAAACTGTAATCAGCATTTGTTTGTCTCCCAACTTTGGCAGTAAGCTCGGGGTCAGTAAAGGTGAGAAAAGTAGAATAATCCATGCCAAACGAAGTCCACGAATCAAACTCTTGGAGCACTTGCAGCACATTTGGGGTTAGAAAATCTTGAGACGAGTCCGGAAAGAGAACGTTCCTCAGTCGGGGATATGAAGACAAGGAGATCTTCAGCTGATCCGGATTACACCAATCTAAAGAGGAATTGTCCAAACAATCCTGAACTTTTTCTGGGGAATACAACAATAAAGCTAGGACTGACAGAGGGTTTGAAGTTGACATCATGGAAGAGTCCTCGACAATCCATTGCATGGAGAGGAGTAGGCAGGTATAAAAATTGTCTTGAGACGTTTGAGAGATCAACTGGATGTAAGATTTGATGAGCAAGAAAGCTGGATCATCTATTGTGAAATTTGAGAATTTATCCAGAAGTAGGTGTAGAACAACAAATGGGTACAATTTATGCTCCAAGGATTTGTTCAGGAGTTCTTCCTCAAACTTTGGGTGCCGAATAACCCCATTGTTTGAGATATCAGCCAAATGAGCCCCGATAAACTCATTCATCGAGCATTCTACCCGACCCTCTGAAATCATCCTGTTCTGAATTATAAACTGGTTGATTGACGGAGTGAAGAAATACTTATCTGACATGTAACATTCCGAGAGAAGCTCAAATTCACACTCCTCCACAAACTGTTTGTCTCGCCACATCTGATATTGAAGCTCAGTAAGTTTAGGGAACTGTTTCGCACCACTCTTTGAACCGTAGAGACATTGCTGTTCATAAAGGATAAGGTCCTGTTTTGTCCTCTCCCATCCGATCACCCAACTCAACTGAAGTGATATCTTGCCAATAGAACCAGAGAGAGGGAGGATATCATGTCCAGTCTGGTTGTACTGATGCATCTGCTGGAGAAACCTCTCTCCCTCCAACTCTTCCTTAGTGAAGAGGTTGGGAGGAAGTTCGGACACTAGGTAGGTACACAAGGCCATGTCATCCGTTTTCACACAGATTTCTTTAAGTTTAGCGTTTCCCTCCATCATCATGTTAGCCATGATTTGGCGAGCTCGAACGAGATCTTTGTTCTTCAGTAGATCTATTAAGAATTCGTTCACGGTATCTTCAAAAAACGTATCGGATGTTTTGTCGAGAGTCAGCAAGTAAAATTCTCCGAGAGCTACATCCCCATGTAGAACAGCACTCTCAACTACTTCCTTCTCGCTCATCTTCGTCCATTTTTCTTTCAAGATGCTTTCGGCAGACTCACCAACCCCTGAATCACTTATAGTTCCAAGCGATTTCGAAGAATCCGAATAATCTACTTTCGCTTCTTTAAACAGCACACTTCTTAACTGCGACATATACTTGGACAACGCAGTATCGGAATTATCTATTTCAACTGCTTGGGATATGAAATTCGCGCCAAGAATCGCGACCTGCTTACTAAAATTGGAATCATCTTTGCAAATTCCGACCAATTCTTGGCAAGTCTCCAAGACCTCTTCGAAACCACCGTGATCGGACAACACTTTGTTCAGACAGAAGTTAACACTTTCTATCTGCTGGTAAGTGAGAGCGTGGGAAAGTGAGGAGTGAGATATTCTGTCGGTGGGTTTGTTGTTTAGCTGAGTCAGCGAGCTAGCTACTTCAGCACTACGGAAGACTAGTACCTTTTCCAGGAAGGTATCTAAGTTGAGCTCGGGAACGATAAAGAAAACATGCTCGGGGGTTACACCAGACGGGAAGGGGAACGAGCTCAAGAGAGATATTGAACCTTGGTAATTGGACCTGGAAACGAGGGTGTTTGACTCCAAGTCAAAAAGGAAATATGTTGTCTCTATGTCTTCAAGATGGGACGTCATAATGATGTACTTTGCGTTGTCTGGCGAGGGATAGAAAGATAACTGATTGATGTTCTGATGAAGCTGGAACGCTTTAACCAGGCCATCCCTGGATTTCTCCACATACCCTGGAATCATTTCCTCGATAACAGAAAGTTCATGCAGCCACGGATTCTCGACTTTGATCTTTTTAAGTGTCCAATTGATTCGGTGCAAAGTATTCGCATTATCAACCACAATAACAGTTGAACAGTTTCCTAAAATCAATGAGGGCTCAGAGAGATATGTCAGCTCACTCATATCCAGCTTGTACACTATTTTAGACCTCCCAACAGAGTGGACTGTTAGCTGATACGAGATGAACATGAACAGGAGGTCCTCGTGAACTGAAGCACAGTAAAGCTCATCAGAAGGACCAATCGACACAGACATATGGAAACTAAGATCCTGCAGTCTATCGATTCCAAAAACCAGCACTGACCCTCCCTTAGTCTGGGCCTCCTCCGCCCGAAATGCTAAGACAAGTGTGTCCTTCTCACTGCAAACCAGTTCCACGAAATACTCATCTCTGGACCCTTCCACTGACAAAACCCCCGGTAGATCCTTCCAGACCAGGAAAAAGCAGGCGTCACGTGACGTAGGTTTGAGAGTTTCACTGATCCACCACAAGGTCACACCATCCTCGTGCAGTACAATTAGACACAACTCCCCAGAGATCCAGCTGCTTTCTAGCCAGGAGAAGATGCTGATTGGACGCTCAAAGGTTTGGGTGAGGGAGGGGCTGGTTTTGCTGAGGGTGCGGAGCTCGAGGGATGTGGGAGAGGTCTGAATAGCGAGAAGTTGAGATGTTGATAGGTACCGGTACGTCTTATCTGAAGACATAGAAGTAATTGGATATGGTATTTGCAATGTCATGAGAAATAAGCAACCATCATAAAGCAGGCAAAACAATTTGTTTCAGCAAGGTAATGAGACCAATAACACTTAAAACCCGTTAAAATCTTTGTTGGGAAACTCACGAGAGATAAGTGAGAAAAGATTAGATTTAGAAAGGACTGTCTTCTGTAGGAAATCCTCATCTTCGATTTCATATTCCAAAGTACCAGAGTCCGACAAATTACAGCTCATCTCATGACTTCACTATGCAAAATGTAACAAATAATATAATCATACGGTATGACTAGGTAGATTTCGTCAGAGAAACAACGTTGTTGATTTCTCGGTGATGATCTTTTCAAAAAATGAAACGAATGGTAGATCGATCAATTAACAATCAGATTAACGACAAATTTAGGATTAAAAACGCGTACTAGACATAATGTGAGACATGTAGATGTGAATAGACAATGTAGACATGACAGACAATGTAGACATGAATAAGAAGTTGTTACTTTGAAACGTCGTTTATCCTAACAGTGCAATATCATTTGTCGCAAATCAGAATAATCAGAAACTATTTGGAAAAACCCAAAAACTGTCTATAGACATAATGTATTAATATAATTACCCAATCAGGACGAAATTCAACGAAACAAATGCAACAAAACGTCAAAAGAGAATATGACATTGATATACAGAAACTGTACCGAGATAAGCTTTTCCAAGTACAAGTCTCATGTTACAATCAAGAACGTTGAAACCACTAAATTTATTATACAATATACATTATACATGTATAATATATAAACATATTATATGATGAAATATACATATTATATACATGTGTATGTTTAATCACTGATTGTAATCGAACTAAAATTTGTTTACAATGAATATTAATCCAATTGTGACATTCTTTAACAACTTCAAAAACCTAGACAGTTTGGTAAAAGATGAAATCTTACCAAAACAAGATGCGGCTTGACAGCGACAAAAGCAGTTGAAGCGGACACAGCAAACGTCAGAACACCGATAATGGTACACGTTATCAAATCACACTGGTAACGGTTCAACTGCGGGATTATGGGTTTAGAAGTTGAAATATCGACATATTTCCTTGTAAAGTTTAATTATTTTCGTATAGTCATTGAAAGATCGCCTAATTTGGAATAGTAACACATGAAACAAGGTCAAAAGGAATTCGAGGCACGTGCGGAATCGCTATTTTCCCCATTCTCCGCGACAAATCGCGATTTTTCAGTTCTGATCCGCGACAAACTGCGCATTTTTCTTTAAATCTGAGGACCTAATTTGTTTTCTCTCCTTTAAGTCTGAGGGCCAAATATCACGTTCTTTATAAGGGTGACCGACGACTGAACCCAATTGAACCTAGTTCCCACACAGTTAACAGGGCACCCAATCAGCTTAATTGGGTGCCCAATCAGCGTAAATCCCAAAACGACAGTTATATTATTTATACTATACATTGCTATTAGGGATGAGATCGTTCCAAATTTTGGTAGAGGTGTACAGAAAGTTCTGTTGGGATCATATCTAATCTCAGTAATGGGATCAGACGAAGTTTTTCATTTTTAGGGCAGAACTTAATTGTATGATACATGTGCAGATTCTCCGGATTCATAATGTTTAATGTCATAATTCGCGGCACGTGCGGAATCGCTACTTTCCCCATTCTCCGCGACAAATCGCGATTTTTCAGTTCTGATCCGCGACAAACTGCGCATTTTTCTTTAAATCTGAGGACCTAATTTGTTTTCTCTCCTTTAAGTCTGAGGGCCAAATATCACGTTCTTTATAAGGGTGACCGACGACTGAACCCAATTGAACCTAGTTCCCACACAGTTAACAGGGCACCCAATCAGCTTAATTGGGTGCCCAATCAGCGTAAATCCCAAAACGACAGTTATATTATTTATACTATACATTGCTATTAGGGATGAGATCGTTCCAAATTTTGGTAGAGGTGTACAGAAAGTTCTGTTGGGATCATATCTAATCTCAGTAATGGGATCAGACGAAGTTTTTCATTTTTAGGGCAGAACTTAATTGTATGATACATGTGCAGATTCTCCGGATTCATAATGTTCTGCTCAGTGAACAGCAGTTTAGTGTGTTGAAGACAGTAGTTCTTGCTAGCCATAATATGTTTATTATAAGTTCTCGAACGTGCACATTCTTTATGATCAAAATCGGGGATGTTACCAATCGATCAGCAGTCTTATACATCGCTTTGCAATTGTACTATGCAATGTACATAGTGCCGTTCTCCATGCGGTTCGGCTTTGTATTTTAAGAGATTCCTTAAGGCACGCTGATCGAGAATAGAGGACTTCAAGTCTCCGTCGTACTCCGTTTTATCGATAGCTGTTCCATCTTGTAAACAATTTCTCCGGCGCCTTTGAAAGTTAGCCTCAACTCAACTTATAATCCTCCAAGGGTATAGGAGACCGACAGTGTTTGTTATCTACTACTAACCCCGAAATTTCACCGCTGTGGTCAATATAATAAAGTAGTGACAGAGATTGCTTATTTTTAATGGAACGTGTCCAAAATCATTTTTGAATCAATTCATGATCGAATACAATATAGTATTAATTAATTATTTGATGAATCATATTTTAAATAACTTACTATATTGATAAGTTGATAGTAGATCGATAAAGTCATAATTAAGGAAAATACTTGAAAAATAATTTGGGGAAAACAATGATGGTGACCTAAATTTTGGTAGTCCGAAAATATGGTGTTTTAAAAAAACACCAACTTTCGTACAATTTAAATATGTTTCGTAAGGTATAAATCAAGAGGCTTGCATATAATGAACATATTGACACGGGTGCAGAGTTGAGTCTGTACGGAACCTAGTAGTTTCAGATCCTTGTTTAACGTATGCTGTAATCAAACAGAGGTGTTATATTCCTACATATGTAGGCACACAGAAACTACATAAAAGTGCACTTATTGACTAATTTGTCCGAGTATCTGCTTGCATGATCAGTTTTTGAAACTACTACACATAAAGCAGCCCTAATACAACATCTATTGCAAAATTAAAACCCAAGTGGAGAACCTACAAGTAGTAAGTATGCGTACATAGATGTAAGTAGTGATACATCTCTATATAATTCAACAGATTCTCTTTGAGTATTCTGAGTCGTACGACCGCCCACGTGCAATGGATAGAATGTGTAATTAATTGGGTGTTACATTGTTTATATTAAACAGGCTTACTCATTGATGGATATTTTTTGACGCGATTAAATTCTTTCAAGATACTACTATTTCCTCCTTAAATGACCGTGTTTTTCTATCTATTACTGAGTAATATCAATAACCGTAATTGAAATTAACTCTTTAACAAGTAACAAAAAACAGAAATTTCGGTTGAAAATTTGTTGACCTCTGAAAAAAAACTTGAAAGGTCAGCCACCGGTAAATACATGACCGGGATAATTTGGCGGGTTTTGGGAAAGTCCGCCATATTTTTCCCGGTCATTAATTTTCCATTAATATTCCCGAGTAAGGTAGTCCGAAAATATGGTGTTTTAAAAAAACACCAACTTTCGTACAATTTAAATATGTTTCGTAAGGTATGCTGTTTTATACTTACTTTACTTTGAGTACTTTGAGTAGGTTTGGCTGGGATCGCTTCAGGACAACAGTATCAAGTACGTCCTCCTATCACTCCACAGGGGTCTTTTTGTAAGTACCATTCCAAGAGTGAGTTGTTGTTAGTAGCGGTGTATCCTTTAGTCGGAGGTGTGTCGGGGAATTCTTTAAGGAATTTAGCCAGTGACGATTTTAACAGGTCCAAAGTAGAGATGGAATTAATTTCTTTGGGGAGAAGATTCCACAGCTGTGCCGCTTTCACTCCAAACGAGTTTTCATAGTGAGTTGCCATAGAACGCTGTGATTTGTTGTTCAGTGCTGGTACAGTAGCTTTTATTCCATGTCGGGGGTTGTTTTTGAACATTATAGCAATAATACATGCATATTCGAGATAATTATGTAATATACTATTGTTTTGCTTATCGCTCCATAATCTAACTAGACTAACGCTGGCTAGTTTAACGAATATATGACATCTAACTTAACTCTGCAAATACATTATCTTTCGCCGCGATTTCGACTAGTTTGGCTTGTCGCGGCGCCGCGATTTTTGGCCTAAATAATCGCAATTTTCTTTTGTCCTTGACATGAAAACATGCAACAGATTCATTCTACTCACCAAAATATTCTCCATCTTAAGAGGCAAGTTATCGTGTTCATCATAGTTCATTTCCATTTTGATGACTGTTCTCTTGATGAGTCTGAAGAGAGTGGAAATATTGCCACTTGTTCTGGAAAGGTGGTAACTGGACATCAGAGACAGAGCCAACATCACTGGTAACCACATTGTCCTGCAGAGAAACGTTTAGCAATCATAAGTCAATACAGGGTGTTAATATTTACTATTGTGTAGTGCAACAGAAACATACAATATAAAGTGACTTAATTGACTATATTTTTTGTCCGAGTATCTGCTGCCATGATCAGTTTTTGAAACTTACTCACATAAGAGCAAGCGTACTACAACATTCTATTGAAAAATTAAAAACCAAGTGAGAGAACGCTACTAAGTAGTAAGTACTAAGTATGCGCTACTACTAGTATTATAGTAGTGATACATCTCTATTATAATTCGAAAGATTCTCTTTGTATGTATGTCTGTATGTCTGTACGACCGCCCACGTGCAAATTGGATAAGAAAATGTGGTAATTAAGTTGTGTTTAAATTGTTTTATATTTAAACAGGCTGTATCTTCAGTTGGGATGGATATTTTTTGACGCGATTAAAACTTTCTTTCAAAGAATACTACTAGTTTCCTCCCTGTGACCACTGACCACGGGTTTTCTAGTTATTATATAATACAGTAATACCCCGATTTACCGCGGAGTTTGGGAGAAAGGAAAAAAACGCGGTAATTCGGGGCGCGGTAAATGGGGGTTTAACTGTAGTTATAGCGGTTCAATAACCACATACTACTGTAGTATCTAATATACAATCTACAGGTCAGGTAATTAATCACATTCTCACTAGGTATGTAAGTTATTATGTTCAATGTGGTAAATAAAATGTACTCTATAATCTAGATCTATAAAACGGAGTACGAGTTACCGGGGGCTACAAAGCAACCCGTTTCCAGTACTAGTTGGTGAGCACAGCTAAACACCAACTAGTACTGATCTATTGTCTTGACCACCTCTTGAGCTCTCTATACGATTACATTAATCATTGTAACACATACGAACAGCATGAGATAAGTGCAAAAGCATAAGCACCCGATGTAAAATTTTGAAACAAATATGAGAACGACGGGGTGAGTACCTTGAAACGTACGACTAGTATATACTATATATAAATATAATAGTATAACTATAGTACTAAGAATATTACTAACGTGTGGGAGACCTCCTCCAGAAGTGCAGCATAACAAAACCCGTAGACTAGCCCCACAACAGTCAGGGACCTTGTCAGGGACACAACCGCTCCTGACACCGAGTGACAGGCGTTTCCTGAGATGGACAGTGTTTTATCGTGTGATGCTAGACAATTTGAAACATTTTAAAAGTTTAACCATACATATTCCAGCATAATTTTGTTGGAAATTGAAGAATATCCGGAAAGGGTCATGACAATAATACAGTGAAACGTTAAGTTTTTCTTCCTGTTACCTCCGAAGACATGAATGTCGATCTGTTCTAGAACGAAGAGAAGGAAAGTGTTGACTTGAGGGAAGAGCCCAAACAGGAAGATCACCGGAAGAACATTATCATCGCTGTGAAGTTTATGTTACTAATTGGGGACAGTAAATTTGAGATAAACTACTTGCGCAATATACAACTAAAACTTGTCACGTGATATGTAGAAAGGTATCAGTTTCAAAAGGTAAACTCACTCTTGACGGCAGCGAACCCGTGACCAATGGAACGCGGAGAACACAGCTTCCAGCCATACATTTCTACACAGGACAAGTTATTCTTTCTGGCCACGTTCAGTCCCAGCAGTATTCCTAGGATAACGATGGTTTTGACATCATTTCCAAAATATTTGTGTAACTTTATTGGTAAAATTGGACTCACATTTATAAAGTTGGGCTAACTTTCGTTAGAATAAATTAAGGTTATCTTTACCAGCAGAGAGTAGGAAGTATATAGGTCTGGAGATAGGGGTGATGTGGTTAAACCCTTGGGTCGGGGAGGCACTGTCTGGCTGTACACTCTGAGTACAGATAGTTAAATTATCTGTACTTTACAATTATAACTCATATCAGGTCATGTTAATCAGAGTTTGAAGTACCTGCACTGTACCCGAACATTTGTTTACCTTGATGAGACAGAACTGGCAGCCAGCCAGGACTACACACAACCACGCCACTTCGATCCCGTGAAATATGTCAGAGTAGAGGAGGAGGAAGAGGACTAGAGAACACAAAACAGCCAGACAGATCTTCAGAACTGCTATCCAGCTGTACTTGTCCTCGTCCAGCAGCCGTTCTAGATGTAACCTGCGACAATGGCTTCTTACTAACATAAATATTCATATCGTCATCATCCATATTATATCGTTGATATTGGTATTTATTATTTAGTCGGGTATGTTTTATAGGGAACAGAAGATTTCAGAATTCTTCAATGCCACTCTCAATAGACCGAGACAAGAAAGTCCTTTGAAATGGTGTTTACTTCACTTCTCATTCTAGCTTATTTTTGTATTTTCATTACATTGGATTTCACTGTTTTGGAGCATTATACTTTATCAAAGGTCTGACAAGTAAAAGTAAATAGACTATAATGACTCCAATCAAAAGTCGAGGAGCACCTATAGTTATACTATTACAATTATAGTTTATATTCTTCATTAGTACAATCGGATGAGGCCTGATTCGCGATTAATCCCCTCGCTAAAACTTGACAACGTAAGCATGGCGTTGGATTCAACCTTAATTAATAACGGGATCCGTCGAAGATTTAAAATGTTGGATTTTATTGTCTGATAAGCGATTTAATTTCAAAGAGCATGATCTCACTGGCAATATCGAATCTGGCCTTGGATTTAGCTTAGTCATTGTCCATCTAACAGAATTAATTTTATAGGAGAACAAATACCATTTTATCGAGAATAATTGAATTTAATCTACCACATTAACAAGCTTAGACAAACTAAGACGGTCAGACTAGAATTCAAAATTAAAATCATAAATTTAAATATGAAAGTAAACTCCGATTGAAAGTTCCATCAGATATATAATAAATAAAGTCTCAACCAAGTCTGTGTCAGGTGCACATTCTAATATTACAAGTCACAGACTGAGAACGGCGTCTTCTAGTTAACTGTTCAGGAGACAACATGCCATTCGCATTCCTATTCGCAATCACCACACTTCGAGTCTGCTGCAACACAGTACTCTGCGACTGAACCCTCTTCAGTTTTGCAGTACTTCGTGCAGGAGATGCGTTACGTAAACTAACCATGCCTGTTCCTAGGGATGATATCCTCCGGGAGATTCCCTTTGAACTCTTCTCGATCCAGTTCCGATAATGTCTGATCCGTAGAATGTATATGATAGGGTTCAACATAGCGTTCATTGAGTAGAGAACAACTCTTGTCATGCCCCACACGTGAAACTTCATGAAGTCCGATGTAAATAAGTCACTGTACATTGGATTTAATAGCGAGATCAACTTCAAGAGGTTAATGATGAACGTTGGAAGGTTTAGAACGAGGAAAATTACTGTTATCAAGATGATGGTGATTGTAGCATGGCGTTTCAACAGAATACTCCGAGCTGATCCCCTCTTCATTGTCCTCATCACTTCCACACTGGATACCACACAGCTGATCAGGGAGATGGGGGTGGGAAGTCCAAGTTCCACCGTTCTGACAAACATGTCAGCCAGGTGCCAGGAGTAAATGTCGGTGGTGCCGTAACAGAAACCCTCGGTAGAGTGATAACGGAAGTGCTGGTCACCAGCTACTGTCAGAACAATCTGGAAAACTACCTGTGTACAAATGGTTGTTATTTGGAGAGGAATTTACCATGATTTAGGAACTAGACAAAGCAGTGGTCATGGTGACAAATAAAAAATATCATGGTATTCTGATAGTAGAAAAGTAGTAAAAGTAAGGACTAACCAGCAGTATGAAATAGAAAGCAAGGAATCTCAAACATCCGCCTCTCCTCATGGGTTTCAGAGGATAGTGGACATTGTACGTCCTGGTAACACTCAACAGAGACAGAGTGAAGATGGTGAACGCTGGGAACACCGCAATGAACACTCCCCACAGCACACAAACTCCTGAGTATCCAAAGAGTTGAGGAGATCTGGTACTGAGATAAGATCCAGCAGTTACCAGCGTCAGGGTACAGATAATGATATCTGTCACGGTTATCAAGATGTAGATACAGGTGGGCAGGTCTTTGGGTTTGGGCTTTGAAATGAAGAACTTGAAGGAGACCAGATTGGCTGGGACCCCAATAACAAAACAAAGAATTAGAGTCGCCCCAAGGAAACAGTCCGCTGTGGTTCTGATTTGAGTTGGAGTGTTGAACACCATGCAATCTTCATCATATACAACCATTGCAACACAAATACAACCAGCAAAGGCTATCGATTATATAAAAACCACGAGGAACGCCTGTCGATGGACCGGGCACAAATTCAAAGATCTGGCATCTTCTAATGGAGAATTTAATCAGTACAATCACATATATAATACACCTTCTTTGAGACTATAATATCAGACTTAAAAGTAATGGATATAACAAGTAAGATGATACTACTGGATCACACTGTAAATTGAGTTGTGCCACATTTGCGCCACGAGAAACGAGGCGCTAGCTAAATAATAATTGTCTTGATATTTTGTGGAAATTTAACATGATTTTGACACAGAATGACGGGGGGATTTCATTTTTGGGACTTTACTTCACTTAGTCTACCCTAATACGTCAGCGGAAATCTTCACACTTTCACCGGATCATTCGAGAATAAATTTAAGCGTGAATGACTAAGCTAGAGAATTGAATTATTCAATTTGTACGATCGCTCCCAACCTGGTACTCCCTCATTCACAAGGAGCCACAATGAGACTTCCACGTAGCTGGCATTTTGCCACAATGGTCGGTGTCACAAACCTATCAAAATGGATGGTGAACGTTTTCCAGAATATCTTGACATTGTAGTGTTTGCGAGGGGTCTGGGTGCTGGTGGTCTTAGCCTTGTTGTCAGCAGCCTGTTGGAACAGGTTCAGAACATCCCACTCCAGAGCAGGGAGGACGTTTTCAGAGGGCGGTACTGACGCTTGTCCTCCACCTGAGAGAGGGAGTGTTAGGTGAGGGGTGCATGGTACATTAAAACCCCCATTTACCGCGAACCCCGATTTACCGGGGCCATCTCCTTCCCCCAAATATGCCTTAACATGATAATGTAAACAAACAATACCCCGATTTACTGCGAACCCCGATTTACCGCGGATGATTCCTTTACCAAAACTCCGCGGTAAATCGGCGTTTTACTATACTTAGTGATTAATAATTTACTTCACTTTCACTGCTTTCATATTCACTTTCATTCTCACTATCACTTTCATTCTCACTATCACTTCCATTCTCACTATCACTTCCACTCTCTCAGAAGGGGTACTGGTGAGTATGATGCAAGAAACGCTACGGAGTATCTTTTGGGAGGAATTTCTAAAGAGCACATTTAATTGTTTCTTTATGTACATTTATGGTAAGTTGGTGTACATCCTATACAAACATTGAAAAGGCTAAGTAAAATGCACTGTTTTTATAAGTTTTATATAAGTTTTATATAAGTTTTACTTAACTACATATTACATTTATTAAGTATAGGTTAAACATGGCTCCTCCGATTTCATAAAGGCGTACTTTGAGTAGGTAGATTGGGCCAGATTTCAGATACAGGAATGCCAGCGATTATCTATTCTGCTCTGCACCTTATTTCCGGATATCGTTTTTTGTCTTGCTATGATACCTCATAACAGCACTAATGAGGATTTGGCCATAAAGAATGAAGCAGTTCGGTACATTTGGGCTGGATGGTTTATCTTTGTCATTTTAACAACACTTATCGGAGATACAATAATCCTCATTGCTTCCATCGCATATAAAGCCATCAAACTACCATAAGTACTGGTTGCTTATATTCAGCACATAGCAGTTACTGATCTGGTGATCTCAATAACCTCCTTGTCTCTGCACTCTGTGTCACTGATAAGAAACAAGTGGGTATTTGGGGCTAATCTCTGCTACATAATACCTTATATAAGCAGTATAGCGTACCAAGCTGGAAGCCTCCTTGTCTGTGGTATGACGGTATGTAAGTTACTGATCTTAAAGTTCCCCCTAAGATCATTTACCTGGACAGCAGGACAAGCTCACAAGGTATGTGGAATGATCTGGATCTTCACCCTAACCTCCCCCCTATGCTACTTCACAATCGGCAAAGATGACGTATCGTTTGATTACAGATCATACACATGCACGTATGAATTTAGCTCTCAGTTATGGAAGTTCCTGCAGCCAGCAGATTTTGCCATATTCTATATGATTCCAGCAATCACTGTCCTGGTCGCAGCGGTGATGATTCTTGCGGTTGCGAGAAGAGTAGCTAAAGAAGGGAGGCAGGGATTGAAGTGGCAGGGTGCCATGACTGTTGTGTTAACAGCAACCGTTTACAGTATCTCCATTTTACCCACATCAATCTATCATATTGCGGAGCCATTTGTGGAGAAAGAAGCTTCAGAACCAAGTCCGTTCAAGATAACTTATTACAGAGTTGCAGCCTCCTTCCTGACCATCAATGTCATCTCCAACTTTTACATTTACTGTCTTACTGTTAACAGTTTCAGAGATTTCCTCCGTATTCGGACACAGCGGATAACATCCTGGTTCCTGAATACTTTTAAAATCCAGGGTGGGCTTTTATTGTAATTTTTTTTTGCAATCGGTTTTATTTAGCATAACTGTAAAATTACATTTCAAAGAAAAACCCTTTCTCATTAAATACAAAAAGTCTTTAAAGTGACTGTTGCCATACGGATTATTTGCGATTTAACCTTTTTTAGTAATCAATTGAACTTTTAAACCAAATTAAAATTAAACGGTGAAATGTTAACAGTTTGATTTCCCAGGAAACGCAGAAGGTTTCCGCCGGTCAAGTGTCAACTAATACCGCTGAACATGGCTAGGGTTAACAAAGAAGTACTAGAACCTATGTTTCAAACAGCTCACTCGACAATATTTAAGGAACATTTGATTTACTCCAGAACAATTAGTCACACAAAACGCTTGGTATTTCGAGAAACTGCCGAAATAGTTGTATTTGAATCTAGTGATTTGATTAACTACCTTGATTTATAAATACTTTGATTCCTAATTCTCATTATCATTATGAGTGTAACTGTAAATCTTAAAATTAACAATAAATGGCGGCCAAATACCGAAAGTCTTAGAAACTGTGTTTGGAGTCAAAGATATTATCTTTGAAAGGTGTTTACTGTTAAAAATGCTTTTTTTTTAATTGTGTCAAACACAATCGTGATCTTCCGCATGTTCTCTTATGAACCAATTGTTTCTCATTTGTTTTAGATAACAATTGGAGATGGAGATTAATCATTTCGTTAACATGTCGGATATGTGGGATATAAATGATAAAACTAAAACATTTCAAAAACGTTTTAAAGCAGTAAAATGTTTCCCATACTCAATAGTCAATTAGAAGTCACATGTCACATACGGTAAACGGTGATCATTATAATATAATGATATTATGTATCTCACTAGGACGTATTGTCAACTACGGAAATGAGCAATCAAGGAGGTATTATATTTAGTAGAGACATGATATAGACAACATATTCACAAGAGTTAAAAGGGGACCCTGGACAGTGGACGTAATCTTGCAGTTTCAATTTATCGTTTAAGTTGCCGTTCTCACGTACAAAAAGGAATGAAATTTAATCCAGATATCCTACGGTGCGGTTCTAAGGTTACTGAATTCTGACCTCACTTCCCACTTTCAAAGTTTAAGTTGATGCTGTTTATTATTTGTTATGTCCCTATCTAACAGCACTAATGAGGATTTGGCTATAAAGGATGATGCAATACGGTACATCTGGGCAGGATGGTACATCTTAGTCATCATCACGTCCTTTTTAGGAGACACAATCATTCTCATTGCCTCCATCAAATACAGAGCGATCAAACTACCTGAAGTATTAGTTGCTTTTATTCAGCACATAGCGGTGTTTGATCTGGCAATCTGCACCACTTCGTCCTTCCCAAGCTCTGTCTCACTGATAAGAAACAAGTGGATATTCGGGGACGTTCTCTGCTACCTGAGACCTTACTGCAATTACTTCGTTTACCAGGCTGGAATGTTTCTTGTCTGTGGCATGACGGTATGTAAGTTACTGATCTTAAAGTTTCCCCTAAGATCATTTACCTGGACAGCAGGACAAGCTCACAAGGTATGTGGAATGATGTGGCTGCTGGCTCTTTACTGGCCCATCTGTTATCTCTTAGTTGATAAAGATGATGTGTCCTTTGATTACAGATCATATGCCTGCAAGTATGGATTTAGCTCGGAGTTATGGAGGTTCTTGGAGCCAGTAGGTATGGCGATATTTTATTTTGCTCCGAATTTTGTCATCGTTGTAACTACGGTGATGATCCTGGCTGTGGCAAAGAGAGCAACAGCAGCGCGGGAGGGAATGAAATGGCAAGGTGTCGTGACGGTGGTGTTAACAGTAGCTGCATACACCATCTCCTTCCTTCCTATGGCAGTTTATCATATTTTAAAACCATTCGTAGAGAAAGATCCTTCAAGACCAGGTCCTTTCAAAATAACTTATTACAGAGTGTCATTTTCCTTCCTGACCATCAATGTCATAGCCAACTTTTACATTTACTGTCTTGCTATCACCAGTTTCAGAGATTTCCTTCGTCTCCGAACTAAGCGAATCATTTTCTATCTCCGGAATACACTTAAAACCCAGGGTATGCTATTATTGTGACTTCTTTTCTGCGATCAGTTGTATATATAATACAACAACACTTGTTTTAGTACTAAACAATTGACCTTAAATCAAGACTTAAATAAGATACTGAAAATGTTAACAATTTGATCCCTAGGAAACGAAGAAAATTTCCGAAGTACAACCAAAACTTTCCGAAGTTCAGCTAGCGCTTCGCGAGGATAGGGCTGATAACAAACACTTTTATCACACCGCTCGCTCACTCCTCAACAAATATTTAAGGAACATTTGAATTTCTCCTGAACAAGTAGTTACGCAAAACGCTTGATAATGTGAAGAAATAGTTGCGTTTGAATCTATTGATTGACCATTTTAATCGTACTTTGATTCATAATTTTCACTGAAACCTTACAACCTAAGATACATAGCGGACAAATAATTAAATTTTTGAAAAGTTTTGATTGGCACATTACAGATGTACGGATAATTTTGTAAGAGTGTGCTAGATATTTTAATTTGTTAATCTGATTTGTTTCATATTGAATCGTGATCTTTTTTCTGGTATTTTACGACGGAGTTTTTGGCATTGGTTTGATATAACGATCGAAGATGGAGACTTATCATTTCGTTACCATATGGATATTCTGACAAAACTATTAGGATTTGGAGTGTAAATCCCTCCACCTCAACTGTGAAATGATCCCTCGCATGTTTCTCAGACGGATCAACTCACACTCACTCACGAGCTAACTCACACAAGAAGTTAAAGCAGTCCTCTTCCGCTTGCCAGTAATATGAAGCAGCCTGGTTGTTGGCCCAGAACTCGGGGGTTGCTTGCGGAGGTATGCCTGGAGCGGGAATGGTGTCTGCTGTTGTAGCTGATGTGGTCGGTGACCCGTCACTCGCTTGTAGCTCAAACATGTATATCTGCTCTTTACCTGTGTGGAAAATGCTTTATAAATCTGAACACATAGTGTATTAAATACATAAGGTATTACTTAGTATTGAAATCAAAATCAATCTTAATTACCAAGATCTTTTCAAACAATGTTGCCTAAAATTACACAGCAAATGATAAGTGATAACCGACCGTTCTCATCGTAGTATTTGTGAATAGCTCCAGGAGTGGTGTCCGTGTAGTCGGTTGCGATGTGTCTGGAAATACCACTGGTCCCAGCTACAGCAGCCCCACTGTTACTGCTCGTTGCAGTTGAAGGTTCCGGCGTGCTCTGCAGGTGGACTGGAGCGAAGCGGCTTGGTCTTGAGGTGGCTGAGGAGCGGCTCTCGTGCGAGCGGCGCTGTGTGTTTAGTTGAGATTGTCGGCGCAGTCTCACGTTCACAGGCGACTCTGAATTCAAAAATTGATGGTCAATACGTCTGAGGGTACTTAAAATTTAAAAGTATTTACAATCATAACAAAGATTCCAATGAAATTCAAACAGTTACCAACCTTGAGTGCCAGTATCGAAGCTGCGTGTTTCCCTCAGTAAACTAGCATTTGTCTTCACCTCCGAGTGGTCGTGATGTAGCTGACCCCTCTCTGGGACTACAGCAATAGTCTTCATTTGTCTCAGAACCCTTGGAGATGGTGGTCCGGCAGTAGAACCTCCCTCAACGTCTCGCTCTGAGCTCGGGAATGCAGCCAGGAAATCAACATGAGCACTTGTTTGGCCGTCAGTTCGACACACTTTCCGTTTGGTCAGTGTCAGTTCCCCGTCTTGTTTGGTATCCTCCAACAAAGCCGGCACGTCAAGGTCGTCCCCCAAACTTATGGTATCTAGAGAAGATTCCCTCCCGGGGGAGGGATCTTCCCGGCCAGATTGTTCTCGAACTGAAGTGTCACGTGTTGAGGCAGACCGTGGAGAGTCGTCCTCCTCTCGGTCTGTCATCTTGCTGCCTGACTGATCCCAACAGTATAGGACGTCGTAAGCGGGTTCCTCCTTCCTGCTGCTAAAAAGAGGAATTAGAAAGCAAAATAAAGGTCAGAATGTTTTAGACTTAAATTTATTACCTCTATGCGAACACCATGCTCATTGATTTGACTGCCTTGTGTGGAACAATTTATCATCAATCAAACTTAAAATGGGTTATGGGTCTATCGTGATTCGTGTGTGTGCAGTATCGATCGATCAAATCGATCGAATAGTGCGCGCGCCTGCGCTTCGAAATATATTATATTATTTCCCGCGCGTCTTTCAACTGCACACAGTGATTTAGTTTCCTGCATCAATGTCAAACGGAATTCGCGCCTGATGTAAACACATATAATGATTCCTCAAAATGGAGACATTTTCGAAATTTCAGATTTCGGCAAAAACAGCCTACAACTGATATATCTTACAAGTTATTAGTTCTAATATGACAGGAAAGTGTTTTGAACCGGTGAAAAAGGATGGTGAAGGTGAAATATGCCAAAAATTTAAATTCTGAAATTCATCTAAAAACATAGTTGGGAACCGGATTTCCAAGATAAGAAGAAATTGTAACTGTGCTAATACACCAGGGAAGACATTTACAGTTGCCACCCTGGTAGATCTGGAAGTACGTTACCAGTTATTCGGTGCCTTCAGGTGGGGGGGGGGGGGGGGGGCGAAAAATGGGCCGAAAAGCGGCATTGTCGGGTGTTTTCAAATTGTAAGATTTAAAAGCCAGAATTTCGGCTTAAGTTGGCTGGGACATGCCTAAATTGAAGTGGGTGAGTTGCATAGAGGTAGTACAAGTGTGATCCGTTGCAGAAAGCCTTGTTCCCAACATTCGAAATGACTTGAAAAGATTTTGTAAAAAATTGGAGACATTTTGGAATCCATGGGAATTTTTTGGAGACATCCATATTTCGCCCTAAAACGTCTCCAATGAGTTTGGTTGGCACCCTGGTTGATCTGGAAGTACGTTACCAGTTATTTGGGGCCTTCAGGGGGGAAAATGGGCCGAAAAATGGGCCGAAAAGGGGCATTTTCGGGTGTTTTCAAATTTGAGATTTCAAAGCCAGATTTTCGGCTTTAGTTGGCTGGGACACGCCCAAATTGGTGTGGGTGAGTTGCATAGAGGTAGTACAAGTGTGATCCGTTGCAGAAATCCGGGTTCCCAAGATTCAAAATGACTTGACAAGATTTTGTAAAAAATTGGAGACATTTTGGAATCCATGGGAATTTTTTGGAGACATCCATATTTCGCCCTAAAACGTCTCCAATGAGTTTGGTTGGCACCCTGGTTGATCTGGAAGTACGTTACCAGTTATTTGGGGCCTTCAGGGGGGAAAATGGGCCGAAAAATGGGCCGAAAAGGGGCATTTTCGGGTGTTTTCAAATTTGAGATTTCAAAGCCAGATTTTCGGCTTTAGTTGGCTGGGACACGCCCAAATTGGTGTGGGTGAGTTGCATAGAGGTAGTACAAGTGTGATCCGTTGCAGAAATCCGGGTTCCCAAGATTCAAAATGACTTGACAAGATTTTGTAAAAAATTGGAGACATTTTGGAATCCATGGGAATTTTTTGGAGACATCCATATTTCGCCCTAAAACGTCTCCAATGAGTTTGGTTGGCACCCTGGTTGATCTGGAAGTACGTTACCAGTTATTTGGGGCCTTCAGGGGGGAAAATGGGCCGAAAAATGGGCCGAAAAGGGGCATTTTCGGGTGTTTTCAAATTTGAGATTTCAAAGCCAGATTTTCGGCTTTAGTTGGCTGGGACACGCCCAAATTGGTGTGGGTGAGTTGCATAGAGGTAGTACAAGTGTGATCCGTTGCAGAAATCCGGGTTCCCAAGATTCAAAATGACTTGACAAGATTTTGTAAAAAATTGGAGACATTTTGGAATCCATGGGAATTTTTTGGAGACATCCATATTTCGCCCTAAAACGTCTCCAATGAGTTTGGTTGGCACCCTGGTTGATCTGGAAGTACGTTACCAGTTATTTGGGGCCTTCAGGGGGGAAAATGGGCCGAAAAATGGGCCGAAAAGGGGCATTTTCGGGTGTTTTCAAATTTGAGATTTCAAAGCCAGATTTTCGGCTTTAGTTGGCTGGGACACGCCCAAATTGGTGTGGGTGAGTTGCATAGAGGTAGTACAAGTGTGATCCGTTGCAGAAATCCGGGTTCCCAAGATTCAAAATGACTTGACAAGATTTTGTAAAAAATTGGAGACATTTTGGAATCCATGGGAATTTTTTGGAGACATCCATATTTCGCCCTAAAACGTCTCCAATGAGTTTGGTTGGCACCCTGGTTGATCTGGAAGTACGTTACCAGTTATTTGGGGCCTTCAGGGGGGAAAATGGGCCGAAAAATGGGCCGAAAAGGGGCATTTTCGGGTGTTTTCAAATTTGAGATTTCAAAGCCAGATTTTCGGCTTTAGTTGGCTGGGACACGCCCAAATTGGTGTGGGTGAGTTGCACAGAGGTAGTACAAGTGTGATCCGTTGCAGAAATCCGGGTTCCCAAGATTCAAAATGACTTGACAAGATTTTGTAAAAAATTGGAGACATTTTGGAATCCATGGGAATTTTTTGGAGACATCCATATTTCGCCCTAAAACGTCTCCAATGAGTTTGGTTGGCACCCTGGTTGATCTGGAAGTACGTTACCAGTTATTTGGGGCCTTCAGGGGGGAAAATGGGCCGAAAAATGGGCCGAAAAGGGGCATTTTCGGGTGTTTTCAAATTTGAGATTTCAAAGCCAGATTTTCGGCTTTAGTTGGCTGGGACACGCCCAAATTGGTGTGGGTGAGTTGCACAGAGGTAGTACAAGTGTGATCCGTTGCAGAAATCCGGGTTCCCAAGATTCAAAATGACTTGACAAGATTTTGTAAAAAATTGGAGACATTTTGGAATCCATGGGAATTTTTTGGAGACATCCATATTTCGCCCTAAAACGTCTCCAATGAGTTTGGTTGGCACCCTGGTTGATCTGGAAGTACGTTACCAGTTATTTGGGGCCTTCAGGGGGGAAAATGGGCCGAAAAATGGGCCGAAAAGGGGCATTTTCGGGTGTTTTCAAATTTGAGATTTCAAAGCCAGATTTTCGGCTTTAGTTGGCTGGGACACGCCCAAATTGGTGTGGGTGAGTTGCACAGAGGTAGTACAAGTGTGATCCGTTGCAGAAATCCGGGTTCCCAAGATTCAAAATGACTTGACAAGATTTTGTAAAAAATTGGAGACATTTTGGAATCCATGGGAATTTTTTGGAGACATCCATATTTCGCCCTAAAACGTCTCCAATGAGTTTGGTTGGCACCCTGGTTGATCTGGAAGTACGTTACCAGTTATTTGGGGCCTTCAGGGGGGAAAATGGGCCGAAAAATGGGCCGAAAAGGGGCATTTTCGGGTGTTTTCAAATTTGAGATTTCAAAGCCAGATTTTCGGCTTTAGTTGGCTGGGACACGCCCAAATTGGTGTGGGTGAGTTGCACAGAGGTAGTACAAGTGTGATCCGTTGCAGAAATCCGGGTTCCCAAGATTCAAAATGACTTGACAAGATTTTGTAAAAAATTGGAGACATTTTGGAATCCATGGGAATTTTTTGGAGACATCCATATTTCGCCCTAAAACGTCTCCAATGAGTTTGGTTGGCACCCTGGTTGATCTGGAAGTACGTTACCAGTTATTTGGGGCCTTCAGGGGGGAAAATGGGCCGAAAAATGGGCCGAAAAGGGGCATTTTCGGGTGTTTTCAAATTTGAGATTTCAAAGCCAGATTTTCGGCTTTAGTTGGCTGGGACACGCCCAAATTGGTGTGGGTGAGTTGCATAGAGGTAGTACAAGTGTGATCCGTTGCAGAAATCCGGGTTCCCAAGATTCAAAATGACTTGACAAGATTTTGTAAAAAATTGGAGACATTTTGGAATCCATGGGAATTTTTTGGAGACATCCATATTTCGCCCTAAAACGTCTCCAATGAGTTTGGTTGGCACCCTGGTTGATCTGGAAGTACGTTACCAGTTATTTGGGGCCTTCAGGGGGGAAAATGGGCCGAAAAATGGGCCGAAAAGGGGCATTTTCGGGTGTTTTCAAATTTGAGATTTCAAAGCCAGATTTTCGGCTTTAGTTGGCTGGGACACGCCCAAATTGGTGTGGGTGAGTTGCATAGAGGTAGTACAAGTGTGATCCGTTGCAGAAATCCGGGTTCCCAAGATTCAAAATGACTTGACAAGATTTTGTAAAAAATTGGAGACATTTTGGAATCCATGGGAATTTTTTGGAGACATCCATATTTCGCCCTAAAACGTCTCCAATGAGTTTGGTTGGCACCCTGGTTGATCTGGAAGTACGTTACCAGTTATTTGGGGCCTTCAGGGGGGAAAATGGGCCGAAAAATGGGCCGAAAAGGGGCATTTTCGGGTGTTTTCAAATTTGAGATTTCAAAGCCAGATTTTCGGCTTTAGTTGGCTGGGACACGCCCAAATTGGTGTGGGTGAGTTGCATAGAGGTAGTACAAGTGTGATCCGTTGCAGAAATCCGGGTTCCCAAGATTCAAAATGACTTGACAAGATTTTGTAAAAAATTGGAGACATTTTGGAATCCATGGGAATTTTTTGGAGACATCCATATTTCGCCCTAAAACGTCTCCAATGAGTTTGGTTGGCACCCTGGTTGATCTGGAAGTACGTTACCAGTTATTTGGGGCCTTCAGGGGGGAAAATGGGCCGAAAAATGGGCCGAAAAGGGGCATTTTCGGGTGTTTTCAAATTTGAGATTTCAAAGCCAGATTTTCGGCTTTAGTTGGCTGGGACACGCCCAAATTGGTGTGGGTGAGTTGCATAGAGGTAGTACAAGTGTGATCCGTTGCAGAAATCCGGGTTCCCAAGATTCAAAATGACTTGACAAGATTTTGTAAAAAATTGGAGACATTTTGGAATCCATGGGAATTTTTTGGAGACATCCATATTTCGCCCTAAAACGTCTCCAATGAGTTTGGTTGGCACCCTGGTTGATCTGGAAGTACGTTACCAGTTATTTGGG